TAAGAAAACAAAATCTGTATCAGCCTATATTTTTCTATTTTGGGAACCCTCCCACCTAATTGCCTGATGTCTCTACTTAATTAACCTATATCTGTGTATATCTAGTACTTTCAATATCATATAATGTAGGGGTGATGGGAGGCTAGGAAATAAGGTATAGATGATTTTCTTTGTAGTTTTTTATTATATCCTTTTATTTAAGCCCCTCTGACTTGATATGTCCTGGGAAGCAAGCATTCCACACAGGACTACACTGTTGCAGCTCTGATCTGGTTTATGATGACTAGAGAAAGTGGAGTAAAAATACATAGACCCCCAAGAATATATAAGAAAGAGCATATCACAATCATAGGAGCTGAGCCATGTTAAGACTGATGAAATGCAAATACAGTTAGAATTGTCAGAACCATGAGGGTACATTTATCGAATGAGTGATTTTTGGAAGAAAAGAACATAAACAGGTTATGGAGGAAAAGGCAGTTCAGAGTGGTATAAACATTAACATTGTATGTCTAGAGAGCAGTAATTAGGTATTTGGAATCTAATAAAAAATTCTGAACTAGGCAGTAATGAGAGATGTCAAGGTAATTAGATATGGGGAAAACAGAAGAAGGTAAGAAAAGCCTTGAAATATAAAAAATAATTAGTTGTTATAATTTTATATAATACATGATTTAATTATTCAAAAGTTTAGGTTTCTGAGCAAAAGAGGCGCATTAGAAAAATTCACAGTAACATGATTTTCTCAATGCAAAGTTTAGATCAGCGTTTCTCAGCAGTGATTTTGCCCTCACCCCCCACTCTACCCTCCTTGGATGGACAGTATTTGACAATGCCAGGAGACACTTCTGGTGGTCACAACAGGGGAGACAGGGTGTTACAGGCATCTAATGGGAGGAGGTCAGGCATGCAGATAAATATGTTGTAACACACAGGACAGCCCCCTGAAACAAAGAATCAGCCAGCCCAAAATGTCAATCATGCCATGACTGAGAAACTCTGGGCTAGATGAAGGGAGAGAAATAAAATTCTTAAATTTAACCAAAAAAAATGTAAGAACTAGGTCAGAGTTCTTCACCTATCCCTTGTTTATATAATCAGTTCCTTCCTCCATCAAGTTAGTCTCAAAGCTAATATGAAGAATAAAGATAATATCATTTATATTCAACTCTAGAAATATTCCAAAATTAATTTTATTTCTGCTCTTAAGACTTTGTGTTTCTACCCATCAACATAGATGAATTTCAGAAAAAATGCTGAATGAAAAAACAAGTCAAGCAAAAATATACTCCGTATGATGTCATTTATATAAAGCTTGAAAAAAAGTGAAACCAAACAATACATTATTTTGGGATATATACATATAGTTATTTGAGAAAAATGAAAGGATGATAACACCAAGATCATACAGGATAGTATTTATGTTTGCAAAAGGGAATGAGCTTGGAGAAAAGCATAAGGTGTCCTTAAATAGATGGATTATATTCTATGTTTTAGCTTAGGTGGTGGGTTATTGAGGGTTTCTCTTATTATTGTGCTTTATAATTTACACAAATGTCTATTTTTCTCTAGGGTGTATAAAAAATCACATATAAAAACAATCATAAAATTCAGTTGTAATGGGGGGGGCACTACAGATTTTTCCTTTAAGTTCTATCACCACCTGCAGGTAAAATTAGGTACTGCAAAAAACTGTTTTTTCAAAGACCACAAATTTGTGAATCTCAAAATATAGTAAATGAACTCAGCGAGGCATTTGTGATAATAAAGAACTACAAAAGTCAGGGTTTCTGCTCTCACTCTACTTAAATCCTGTGGAAAAAGAACACAGAACACATTAAAGAGATAAATAATATAATACAAAATGTTCTACTGTCAGCACCCCCTGGTCAGTGTAATCTTAAATATGAAAATGCTATTTTACACAGGATGACAACCAATCAGAATCCAACTCCTTGACTTGATTCATTCTGCTACTACCTTAGGCCAGGCTTTAATTACTTCATGCCAGTTACTACCTGTTCTCCTCATCTCCTGCTCTCCCTAGCTTGTTCTAAACCTTGCTGCTAAAGTCTTAAAATAACTACTTCATTATATCATTGCTTCTTCTAAAGACTCAATGTGATTTTACACTATCCACAGAACAAAGCCCAATCTCTTCAGATCAACATTTAAGATTTTCTACAGTTTGTACAAAACATATAGAAACCTATTCTTCTCTTGCCTCCCCGTTCCCCATCCCATGTGAATCCTCTACTTCACCAAATCTGGTTTCTGCATTATCCATCACAAATTCTGGATGTACTGTGTGTTTGAAGTGTGCTTGTTTCCATTTGGGCCTCCTCCTCCACGTTTAATACATGTTTTATGTTGTTCTTAAATGTAGGAAACTGAGAGGTAGTTTCAACATATGTCTCTGAGAGACCACTCGATCCCCATCTACATTTCCACTAGACTGTTGCCCCTAATTTCATTCCATGCAGAAATTGGAACTATATTTTTGAGGCAATATATCAATATTCTTTCTCTGAATTCCTAAAGCACTTACTGTCTGTATCATTTATTTGCCATATTCATACATTACTGATACTAAAGGGATTCGTTTGCTTAAGGTTTGTTTTCTGAATTAGACATTAAGGTTTTGGAGATCTGGAATAATTTTATACTTTTTCAGGTTTTTTTTCTTTGCCTTTTGCTTTAGATCAATAATGCTCATATTTGAGTTTGAGGATCTCTTTTTAATGTAAAAATATCTCAGACTCCTCCCCCCACTAAACAGACATTATAGTATTGACATTTTTTAGAGGTCATAAATTTAAAAAGCATAAAGACCATATTAAGTAATACTTTTGAATCATTTGAATCGTTTGAATGACAATAGCCTCAACATATTTGAAAATTATATATATATATATATATATATATACACATAAACAAAATGATGACTATGGTGATGATAATAAAGACAGCTAATATTTTGGAGCCTTCCCATATGCTGGTAAATTTTCCACTCATTCTTTTATTTAATCCAAAAATCCCTCCAACAAGTTCAGTTAGACCTGTTTTACATGGGCTCTACCACTTGGAGCTGTCAGAATTTTGATGATTTATTTAAACTTTGGTTTCTAAAATGGAAAAAATGCAGGATCAATCTCTTCAGGAGAGTTGGGAGAATTAAGAAAATCACAACAGATACAATGCTTAGCTTGTGCCTTCTTCAAAATAAATACTACTTGAAAAAAAAAAAACCTCCTGCAAGGGTGGCAGTATTAGGATTCTCTCCCCTTCATTTTGTAGATGGGACAACTGAGAAAAGTTAAGAAACTTGACCAAAATTTTAGAGCTATGGAGTGGTGGAATTAGAATGGGGCCTGGAGCACTCTGTGCTTTGGATTCCCACAGCACTTTGTTTTCTTACAAAACAGAATTTATTTACATCACATTCTATTTCTCCATCGTTCACTAAAATATCAGCCCTTCAAGGGAAAATGGAGGAGGGGTAGGGAATCAGAGGGTGAGATGAACCCTTCAAGGGCAGGGACTGTTTTTGTTACCGAGTAATTACCAACGTTAGATACATAGAATGTACTCAAAAATATATCATTGCAATAAGACTGAATCTGACGATAGTTTCAGGAAGAGTTTTATTTACCTGAATTATGTATTGAGATAGGATTCTTTTACTTGGTTTTTTGAACAATATCTGTTGGTGATTGAGAACAATTTGTTGTTGGAACCTAAATGTCCTTTATTCACTCTACTCTTCTTTTGTTTAAAACAAACTCATCTCACAAACTGCCTAAAAATAGAATGCCCCTGCATTCAAGTAAAATTGAAGGTGTTTTAACTTTTCAGGGAGGCACACTAAAGGCCTTGAAAGTCATTATCACTTTTTTCTCCCAGTGTGTTAGGAGCGTTAACAAGGAAACAGCAGGCCCTAAATGGAGTCACGTGTGCTAAACCTCACCTAAGCCAACTAAGGCTTAATACCTAAGCCAACTGCAGTTTCAACACCCCAGGAATATAACCTTTAACTAGTCACCCCGGACTTGGTTATCAGTAGGTCAGTAATCCATTTGGCAGGGCTTTCCTTTCTACTTAGGAAGGCAACCTTGCCAGAAACAACGCATTCTTTGCTAATTATTTCCTTTTTCCAACCCCTTCCTGACTTTTAAAACATTGCCCTTTCTACAGCTCCAAGGATCTCCTTTCTATTTGTTGGTTGGAACGCTGCTCAATTCATGAATAGTCAAAGCCAATTAGATCTTAGAATTCACTCACTTGAATTTTTTTTTTTTTAAACTAAGAGAGAACCTGTCAATTTACCATCCTTGATAGAGCTTCTGCTGAGATGGGAGCATAAATCAAAACAGAATTCAGAGACTAGTTTTAAAAGAAAATTTCCCTATACTAGATTTTGATTAAAATCGTCTGGTTCTTCCAAGGGAAAAGTAGGACATTAATCCAAGGTGGTGGTGTTCATTATTAACATTTAGAATTCTCCCACTGACTATATGGTTAATTGGTTTAGCCAATTAACTTCCCACGATTAATCTTCACCGTGTAAAATCACGAGTAGATGGTAAAAACCCTTCTAATTCCATCTCTTCCTAATTCCGGATGCGGGTGGGCAAGAACCAGAGGAGCGACTTAGGTCTCCCCCCTCCCCCCCGGCCCACTCCCGGCCCCCCGCAGGGTCTGGAGCTGACAGCCGCCCAGCAAACCGGAATGACTCTCCTCAGTTTTTCCAGCTAAAGAGGAAGCTCAAGGTACTTCCGCACAGGCCCAGAGCCACCAGCTCGCAGAGGAGTGCCGCGATGTTCACGGCGTGCCGGGATTTGCGGTTAACCCTCTCCTGACCGACGGACGGACGCTAATAAACCAGGGTCGAATTGGCATTCTGGGATATGCAGTCTCCGGTTGTTCGTTTGTGTTAGCGGCTCCAGGCAAAAGGGCCCGAAGTGACACCACAGACTCCGGCGGCCACATGACTCCAGTCTAGAGCGTTGATCGCACTGCGGCTCCCGCCCCGGCGAGTTCTCGCCCCCGCGCGGCCGTTGCCGAGGAGACGGCGCAGTCTCACGCCGCGTTGCCCCCTCTGCAGTCCCCCCCCCCTCCCGCCCTCTTCTCCCACCACAATGAGATCCTAAGATGGCGGTGGCTGCGGCGGTTGGCGCCGAGTAGCTAAGGTAGAGAAGGCGGCCATTGGGCCCTAGGCAGCCAGGGAACTTGTGGGCGCTCCCAGCTGCAGTTTCTAAGGGAGGACCGCTGCCGGTGGCGGATCGTAGGGCCTGACCGCTACTCCACCCTTGGCAGGACCGGCTGCTTCGTTTACAGGTAATGCTGCGCGTCCCCAGTCCTTGGCAACCGAGGGCAGCGCGGCGCAGGAGCGAGAGAGCAACGGCTTTAGGACACTTGACCCTATCGGGCCTGGCCTCGGGCCCACGCCTCTCCGTGGGCTTCTGGGTCTTCTTGTTGCCAGCTTCAGGTCCCCTAGCCAGACAGTCCGCCCCTTACCTCGGGACGAAGGACGCAGTCTCCGGGTGAGCATTTAGGGACGCGTTAGCGACTGCAGAACCCCCTTGTTGCCCCCCCCCCCCATTTTCTGGCCCCGAGGAGGAAGCCGCCCTGCGTTTCGGGCGCTCCAGGGGAATGCCCCTTGCAAGTGGAGGGAGTGGAGCGGGGGCTGTGGTTTGGTTGCCAGGGATGGGGCTCTAGTTCTCCATAGCACCGGGCCTTAGTGGCCTTAGTGTACGTGACTGCGCCCACTCCCACCCCCTCTCAAATTCCATTCTGTGGCGCTCTCGGTGTCCAGAATTTTAGGTGAAGGCCGGGTGAGGAGCGACGCGACTTTTGCGTTGGGCTGTGAGCAGCGGATTTTTGCTGTCTCGGGTATTCTTAGAGCTGAAATGCCGGGAGGGGGGGACGGGGGGGCGGGGAGGGCGTTCCTGACTTTGGAGAAGAGGTGGTTTATACTTGGGAGAGGAATGATAATTTAACTGCTCTTCTCTCCCCCCTCCCATTGCTCCGCTTCTCCGTGTCCTACTGTAGGTCCAGTAAGAAAGGGCCTAAAATGGGGAAAACTAAATGCCAAGTGGGATTAGGGAAACATTGCTTGCTTTGCAGCAACTGGTGTTTGGGGATTGGATGGTAGGCCCTCTTAGGGGGGCGGGTCATCCAAACTTTTTTTCATCCTGGGGCCCATTCCTGAGGATCTCGCCTTGTTCGTTTTTTTTTTCTTTTCTTTTTTTTTTTTTTCTTTTTTGACCGGTTTGAGGTTTGCGTTCTGTGCCGTATGACTGAGGGATCGTATTTTGGCGCTGGAAGAACCGGGCTTTCTGGGCGCCCCTGTCACCCCCGCCCCATAACTGCTTTCCAGACTCCGCCTCCTGGTATTCTCTGGTTACTGGAGTGGGTGTTGTAGAGCTTCGGGTGCACCTGCTCTTTTCTTTGCCTCTTACCTTCTTGGTGCGAGTCCTGGAAACCATTATAATACTGGGTTTTTGAACTGAAGGTAAACCTTGTGTGTATATAGTGACAAGTTTTTTTTTTTTTTAAGTAGTTAGCTTTCAAGTAAAGAAAAAAAATTTTTTAATCTTTGAATATACAAAGTTTTTGAATAGTTTGAGTGGCAGAAAGTTAATGACAATATGATGAGTAAACTTCGGCATGAATCTTTACATGGTAATTGGGATTAATGATTTTTATTACCTACCGAAGTAGCTATATTAACGGATCATGTTGTTTGGTAGAATCTTACAAGTTTGGAGGATTTAAACATTTAAGTATATCACATTGTTTTCCAAAAGGATTAAAGTAACCAGTCTAAAATATTGTAAGTTAGATGTTTACTTTTTTGTTCATTTTTCTAAACATTTTAGGTCATGTGTGTATGTGTGTGTGTGTACATATATATATATATATATATATATAAAATACTTGTTATTCTATACTTCATAGTGTAAGCAAAGAATTCACTGAAGTGTTTTTGTTGTTTTTAATCACAAGCAGGCAACAACTTTGAAGTGTGAAGCAGGAAAGGAGCCGTTTCTGAGCTGTAAAACTAGTTTTTAAACAGGTAATTTGTCATCATTATATATGTTATTGCTGTTTATGGGGTGGTTTTTTTTTTCTTTTTTTTAAGGATTTTATTTATTTATCTGACAGGGAGAGACAGAGTACAAGCAGGGGGAGCGGCAGGCAGAGGGAGGGGGAGAAGCAGGCTCCCTATCCTTACCAAGCAAGAGCCGGATGTGGGGCTTGATCCCAGGACCCTGAGATCATGACCTGAGCTGAAGGCAAATGCTTAACCAACTGAGCCATCCAGGCTCTTCCTATTGTAGTTGGAAGACTTTTCAATGGAGACTGCTATCAACATATCAGTGTGTGGTTGAGGGCCCACTCTAGTAAATAGACCTTCTTGGTTTGCTGCCCTGTGTGCCTTGCTTTTTTGGCATGCCACTTTGTTCTGCTTTCATACTTTTGCTAGAAAAGAGCCATGTCATTCCTAATTATTAAATACCAAATAATTTAAATAGTGCCTTTTGAAATGTCTTTTTCTTCACAGGATTTCTTCAGCCCATTTGAATTTGAATTTGTCCTATAACAGCTACTGGATTTGCCTCTCCAAATCCATTTAATCTTAAGTCATTTTCTGCAGCTTTTCTGTTAATTGATTTTTCAAAATTTTTATGCACAAATTTCTTTACTTTTTGAGCTTATTGCATATACTGTTGACTGAGTTGTGCTTTTTTTTCTCTTAGGTGCCTAAAGGTAAACATTAGTTTATATCCATAGTGCATTGTCAAATCTGACCAGCAAAAAAAAAGTCAATGAAAGTTTATTGAGGGAAAGTTAAATAATTATTTGCTAAGGACAATTTAGAAATTAAATGACTAAAGGATGAGGATCAGAAGAAATTTTTGTTAAGCATTTTAGAAGTCATTGCTTTTTTAAGAAAAGTGTCAGTCTGAATTTAATTCCGCTGTTAAAATTTTAAGACAACGCATTTTCAGTGGGTTGCTTGCTTTCCAGGAAAGCAGGTAAGTCCTTAGTTCCCGTATGATCTAAGCCAACTATCATGAGAAAATTGGCAGTTGATTCATGTCTTTATTATACTTTTCAGTATTTTTTTTTTAATTGGAAGAATGATAGGATAAGAAAAATCAAACTCAGGGAAGGTCAAATGTGAGTGTGTATTAGAGTTCTTAACACTAGAGTGATATAGCAGGCATTTAGTAAAATAAAAAGAATTATAAAACCAGTTATAAAATAGTTTAAATGTGAGGGAGGATAGATGAGAGGGAATAAAGATACAGGGAAAATTCTTTTAACTCATTTTAGAAGATCTTGATTTTCTCATTAAATAATTTGGCCATTTGTAAAGGAGACAGTGTATTTGACACTTGGGAAAAATAGAAAGCGTTTGGAATAACTACACTAGGGAATATATTTGGAAGCCAGCAAAATTCATAGTAATACATTCATCTTACAAATTTAATTCAGTACCTACAGTGGGTGACTTAATGACTATAAAGTACTAGAGATATGGCAATGAGCAAAACAGACAAGGTGTCTTATCTCATGGAGTAAACCTATGTTTTGAAAGTGTGTTTGTGTGTGTACAGTATAATATACCTTAATAGTGAACATAGCCAATCACATTTTATAATTATTTCTCTATCCTTTAACAGTTTGTGAATAGATGCAAAGAGAGCAGGTAGTGGAGTTAACCAGAATTGAATTGGTAGAATGGACAAATAGGGGAGGAAGTCAAGGATGCTTGCAAGGGATTTTTGGAATGACTTACTTGGGTTGTGTTTGGGGTTGAGTAAGGAAGCAGGGGATTAATGGATTCCTGGGAAGAAGAATGACCAAACTGAAGTTTGCAGCAGGGTCAAGAGCACATTTAGCAGGAATGAGAGAAGTGAGAGAAGGAGAAGGCAAGGACTTATGATCAGAAGAAGGGATTTCAGAACTTCAGGATCTTGAACAAATTACCAGTCCAGAGTGAAATGTATTGGAATAGGGAAGATGAGAGGGATGTTGGATCTCAATTCACAGTCTTAGAAAAATTAGGAAAGTAGGGAATGATGTGGAGGGTGAAACCATGAGCCGGTTATTACCAAGAAAAGTACAAGACTTGTTTTGGGGAGGATGGTAGGAAGTGGTGCCCATAGTATGGAGAGTGATATTTTCGATGACAAATTTGTTCAGAAGAGGAAGGTTAAGCATTAGTTAAATAAGAATGGTCTGTAAATGTGATCCTTTCCTCATGAATCTGGGGCATTAGGAAGAGTAGTGCCCCTTTTGGAAAGGATTGCTAAGGAAATAGTGCTTTTAGAGGGATTTCGGATGTTATTGAACTTGAAGAAGTAGGAGGCATATTGGGGAACAGATGGAGGATGTACAGGAGGTTTGTAATGACCCAGTGGAAGGGAGTGATAGGAAGAGATGGTAACAGTGAGTATGGGACTGGCCCCAAAGACTGAGATTCCAAGTTGCTGGTGGCAGTAGGGCCTACAGATTTATTTGGGTGTTACATGTAACCCATGACAAGAAAGCAATAGGTTTTGAATATAAATTTTAGGGAGGGCGTCTTGGTGAGCAGAATTTAATTGACCTCAGTGTTCTCACTTCTGAGCAAGGGCATATTTTGTTGATATGAAATGCTCTGCCCAGAATAACTGTATCGTAAGATAGACCTAATGCAATAGTTGGTACATAGGTCTAATAAAATTTTTGTTGATTTAGATAGAGGGTTATGTTTTGTTGCAGTCTTTTTATCCCCCTCCCACCAATGTCTTAACAGTTTTTTTTTTTTCTTTGAAGAGGGTAATTACAGAGATATCTTAAGTTCTAAAAAAATTTTGAAATTTTTAGAAAGTCTCAAATTGAAAGCGCTATGGGAAAAATCCTTTGTGAAAATTTTTTTTTTTTTTTTTTTAGGTACTTGACTATCTTAAGTACAGAGAAGAAATTGAGAAGTTCCTCAAATGAAACTGACTAAACAACACATAAAACCAGATACTTAAGCATTTTCTTCTCAGTTTCCATTAGAAGTGCTTAGTACATTTGAACACTGTATGAAGACTTTCAAAACAGTGTACCAGGTATTTTTATAATTAGTAAGAGAAATACCGTAAACAATGCAGCCTTTAGAAAACTTGTACAGATATATAAAGTACCACCTTTGGTTATTTTGTGACCCTAAGTAGATACTTGGAAAAAAACTACTTCCTACATTATTTTATTAGGTTGACTATTTCTAAAACCTTCATTTACAGTTGTCAAGATGGCATTTCCAGGGATGGTTAGGAGTAATTCAATGCCATTTCAGAGATAATATCTGAATTTAAAGATTTTAGAAAAATAGTGTTTTTTCTTAACTTGATTAATTTTTCTTTATATTTTTATTTCAAAGATTAACCTTGGGTCAATCATAGGTATTTCTGTGACAATATTGTAATTTTATATACATATAAATATTTCTCTGTAGTAAGAATCCTATGACAGGATTTTCTTCAAAAAGATCAGTCACAGAAAGTTTATAAATTGCTATAGTACTTTTTTGCATTTTTGTATCTTTGCAAGGTAAGGGAGCCAGATAGGGCTGTTGAAAATAGCTATATGAAACTTTTAATTAGTTTCAGCTTAGTTTAGTAGGTCATAGAAGTCCTCGTTTAAAGTAGAAAAATTTTACTTTTATCCCTGTTATTCCCATACAGTCAACCATGACTTGTGCTGTTTGTTTTCCAGTGGCTTCAGCTTTTCCATTTTATTGTCTTTCTAATAACCTGCCTGCCATAATCTCCCACCTTGGATGGATTCAGTGGAATATTCTACCAGGGCTGATGAGCACTGCTGGGAAAAAAAATTCACATTGCAGATTACTGTTATCTGTGGATGTTCTCTAGCTCTCACCTGAATCCTCAGTGCTGCCCACAATCATTCTCCTTTACTCTTCTCATCTCTCAGACACTGCTGTCTAACCCTCACATTTTAGGATCAGTCCTTTCTGCTTCGCGTCACTTACAGACTCCCTCAGCCTCCTATGAATAGATCTCATTAGCCTCCATCTACTTCCATCCTTCCCCTTTGTTCAAAGAAAGAGGTGTTCCTCTACCTAAAGCTAGTGATTTTGCTTAACACCCTAGGTCCCAGTTGCTACTGCTTTTTCAGAGACCATACACTATCTCCTTTCTTTTCTGCATCTTCAGTATCTTCCTCTCCTAGCTCTTGGCCAACAAATTTTAAACATGCTTTTAACAAAACTTCCTCCATGCCTATCTCTGTCTTTTTCCCTTCATAGACTAATTCCTTGGAAAAATTACCTAATGACTTCTTTTATTTTTGCCTCTTCCTATCAAAAGCATTCCAGTTACGGGATTGATCCTCCCCACCCTGCTGTAATTGCTAGTACCAGGGTCATCAGTAACCTTGTTGCTAAATCCAAGTGGGCACTTCTTAGTATTATGTGACCGAATAACATCTGGCATTCTTACTGATATCCTCCTCCTTTATACACTTGCACCTTTTCTAGCACACTCTCCTGGTTTCTCTCCTGTCTTTCTACCTTCTTCAGTGTTCTTTTCCTCTCTCTTAAATATCCGTGTCCCTCCAGGCTCAGTCTTGATCTCTTCCTCTTCTCCCGGTGCCTTCTGCGCCATTTTGAGTACTTTTCTGAGCAGATGATTTGCAAATCTCTCTGCAGCCTAGATTTCACCTCAGACCCAGCATTGCTAAAACCAAATTAATCATCTCTCAACAAAAAAATATCTGTTCGTTTTCCAGTCACTGTGAATGTATCACCATAAACCCAGTTGTTCAAGCTCAAAACGTAGGACTCATCCTTGAACAGCTTTCTCACTGCCTCATCTTTCATCTTCCATGTCATAATAGTCACCAAGCCCTATTGATTCCGCTATTGGAAGCCTACTTGAATTGGTCTTCTTGTCTACATACCTAGTATTTTATTATTAGAATTCTTTTCATATAATAGTTTAAAATAATGATAAAAATTATATGAATAATAACAATGTGTCTACAAAACAATTTAGAAGGCAGGCACCTATTTCTAATGATGACTTGGAGGTGGGTAAAGAGATTGGCATGAAGAAGAGGAAAATATTGCGTATATTATCTACATTTTATATGGGGAGATTTTAACCCTCTTAGATAAATCAGCTGTTATGATGTTGAAAATTGATTTACATGACATTATTTCTTAAGCTTCATAATAATACTTGTATAGGAGTGTGTCTTTTAAACACATTTAGCATCATTATTATTAATCTACCCTCATGGGTGTTTATCTCATCACAATATAACTATAGACAAAGTTGTTTATTTTGTAAATTCAGTAGACTTTATATAGTAAGTGGTCTTTAAAAAGATTTAAAAAAAAATTTGACCAATTTTTCCCAAACTAATTTTAATATTTGGTTTTTGAATTGTTTTAAAAACTTAACAGTGTTTGAAGTCATATAGCCTATAAATAGGTTCTTAGAAGAACCTATTTCATTTTATGGGGAATGAAATAGCTCTTCATTTTAGGGGGAGTTTATCATAATATAAAGATAAAATATAAAATGTCATATCTCCAAATATATTTTTAATTTATTTCTAAGTAAGTTTTATTACTCTACTAATAGAAATCATAGCATACACTATTTTAGGAAAAAAATCGGTATGTAAGAGTTTTTACTTGAATACCTTATTAAGTTTCCATGCTAATTTATGTTTTACGGTTGGCTTCTAGTACTTTTGAAGATGGTGTTGCCTCTACTGCATATGTAGTTTTTGGAGTGCCCGTTATTTAATATTATAAATTATATTGGTACATCTAGGAAATAGGTGCTAAATGATTCATCTAAATGTCATTTCAGCTCATTGGACATACCTCTCTATAAGTATTAGTTATTTTGTAAGTTCTAAAATATATTTCTGGTGTAAAAAACAGTGCATAGTATTGCTGAAAATATATGAGAAGACAGGGAAAATGATCACATTCCTTCCTCCACAACCAACAGTTGCTTTCATGCAAGCACTTTAGTATATATTCTTAGTTTTAGTTTTTTCTAATCTGTATGCAGTTTTACATATTGCTTTTTTCCTCTTTTATACTCTATGATATTATAAACACAGGCAGTATCGTTCAGCCTTCATTGTTTTGAAGGGTATTGTTTCCTAATAGCATCCAGCCTACAGTTTAACATTCAGTTTACAATTTATCACAATTATAGCACAATAAACTGTTTTCTGCATTATAGTTCCCTCTCCCTTATTTAAGTTTATTTTCTTACATTAGCTCTGGAGAGGTAGAATTACTGGGTCAAAACTCAGTTTTAGTTCTTGATACAATATTGCCAAAATGCTTTCTAGAAAGGTTATACAAGTTTAGCTCTCAAGATAGTGACTGAGAGTTCCAGTTTCCTTTTGCTGTCATCAGGATTAGGAAATACAGTAAATTTAATAGTCCCTCATTTTAATTTGTTGCTGAACTTTATTGTTAATATTTTTATTATTTTATGTTTACTGACTTCTTTTTAAGTTACCTGTTTATACTTACTTTTATTGTTTTATTTTTAGTGTTTTTATTTTTCTTGTTTTTCCCCATTAATTCTTTATAAAGATACTCACTGTATGCTTCATATTTCTTTCAGATTTTCCCCCTGGTTTGTCATTTACTATTTATTCTCTATAAACTTGGGATTTTATTTTATGTGAATACAATCTGTTACACTTTTTCTCTTTTATTTTTGCATTCCATATTTATAGGATCTTCATTTTTAGAGCCCATCCTGTTTTCTTGATTTTCTGTTTGTTTGATTATTTTTTTTAATCTTCCCGATCTATTTTTAATCTACTTACTATCTTGGTGTTAGGGTATAAGATGGCCTTTTTCAATTGGGAGAGAATTAAGCTCTAAGGCATCTATTGTTTACTGTGAATAAATTCTTCTGTGTCTGGAATGTACCATTCTTGGGAGAATTGAAAAAAGTATTACTCAGATCATTTTTCTGTGTTCTGTATTTGAGATGAAGGATTCTAGTTGAGAAATACTATTAAATTCCTAAATAATCTTTTTCAAAATTGGTAGCAAATTGTCCCATCAAGTGAATAATCCTACATTATCCTATATCATGTTATTTTTATGAGGATTAAATGATAGAATGTTTATAAAATATTTAGCATGGTGCTGGTATATAGTAAACAAAATAGTTGTTAGCTGTGATTAATTTTCTTCATTATATTTTTCTAATTGGGTGTATTTTCGGATTTTGCAAGGGGTAATTGGCTTATACTAATCTGGTCATATAGGTACTCAGTATGAGTGAATATCTCTTGGGACTAATTTTCTACTCTCCCAACCTCTATTGCTACTTTTGCTTTTATTTTTCATATATTTAAATTTTTTGTACCTACTTGTTTTGTCAGATCCTAAGAAGAACTCCACTGGGAATTCATTAAGTCTATATTTAGAAAAAAATGGTGTGTTTATAAAATTTGTCTTTCCATCAGTGAAGATAGTTTGTTTTTCTACTTTGTAAATTTTCTCTTACATTGTTTTATAGTCTACTGGTGCGTCGTAATTTAGGGCAAAATTTGCGTTATTCCTAGATGTTTTCTTTTTTTGGTCACAATTACAAGGGCATCATTTTTCTCCAGTATATTTTCTGTGTGGTTGTTGGTGATATTTTGAAGTTTTGTATGTTTTTTAATGCATATTTGAAGAATACCACCTTTTGTCTTCTTAGTGTTAATATTTATGTTTCATGTTTTTCCATTTTGCAGGACTTTAAAAACAATGCTAAATAACTGGTATGTTACATTTTTGTTTTGATCTTTATTTTAATAGGGATGTCCTTCATTTCTTATTTTATTTTTTATTTTTTTAAAGATTTTATTTATTTGTCAGAGAGAGTGAGCACAGGCAGACAGAGTGGCAGGCAGAGGCAGAAGGAGAAGCAGGCTCCCTGCTGAGGGACTCGATCCCAGGACGCTGGGATCATGACCTGAGCCGAAGGTAGAGGCTTAAGCCACTGAGCCACCCAGGCGTCCCTTCATTTCTTATTTTAATATTGTTGGCTATTGGTTTAAAGTATATACTTCTTTCAACTCCTTAGAAAATTATTAAAGTAATACGTGCTCACTGAAAAAAATATAGTATAATAGTACATATAACTGTAAGGAACCATCAGTGTATTTGTACTTTTTAAGATTTTTTTGTTTCTTTTTTTTTTTTCCAAAGATTTTACTCATTTGTGAGAGAGACCAAGAGAATGAAAGAGAGAACATGAGTGGGATGAGGGGCAGAAGGAGAAGCAGACCCTCTCTCAGCAGGAGGCCTGATGCAGGGCTTGATCCTGGGACTCCAGGATTGCAACCTGAGCCAAAAGCTGATAGCCAACTGAGCTAGTCATCCAGGCGCCACTAAGATTTTTTTCAAATTAAGTGTTGAATTTTATCACCATTTCTTTGAGTGATAAAATTTAACCTCTTTGTGATCTATTAATATATTATTCTAGTAGATATTCTAGCATCAAAACATCTGTGAGATTACTTTGTCATGGATGATAATGCTTTTAATTTTTTGCTCTAGTGAATGGGATAAGTTGGGATCTTACAGTCAAAGCAACTTTTTGTATTTTTGGCTTTTATTGCCCATTCCCTGACCTAGGCCTGTCTCTTTCTCTGTCTTCTCTCTACCTTGCTTAACACTACATTCCTGTTAAAACCAAACTTTCCTGCATCCAGAGCAGTTCCAACCTCTTTGAAACTTTGACACCAAACAAATTCTCAGGTCTTTGGGAATATTGGTTTTTTTCCCTAAGAGTGGTTTTGGTCCTAGCCATTAATAACTTTTTCCTATCACTCCTTTACCTTTTAGGACTGTGTTCAACTAATTAAATAAAGTGAACTGAAAGGATGTAGGCCTGTACACATAGTAGATATTTTGAAGTTTTCCTTCCCTTTCCTGTCACTCCAGCTCCTTAACTCATATTTATTGTAATATCTGTATGGCTGCTGAATCAGTTTGTCTATAATGCGTGGTTGACACTATCTCTTTTTTTTATTTCATAAAATCAACTTTTCTGAGATTTCTTTTATGTCACTAAGCTTCATGTAATGATTTAAAAATCATTAAGAGTTTGTTTTTATGTGTTAAAATGTTTTCACTTGTTTTGCAGAAAATTAATTGGTAAAACCAGGATGGCCACAGGAGGAGGTCCTTTTGAAGAAGGCGTGAATGATCAGGATTTACCAAACTGGAGCAATGAGGGTGTTGATGACCGACTCAACAATATGGTATGATAACTTACTGTTGATGGTGTATCATTAATTACTAATGATAAAATGAAACTTTCCCTTGACTTAGCCAAATCAAACTCACTGAGATTCTTTGTAAGCACATGGTTTTGTTGCTGGCCAAGACATTAAATCCCTGGGCTGTTTGTTATATTAGTTAAAGATGCTTTTGTTTGCAGGTAACAGATACCAACCTGAGTTAGCTTAAGCCAAAAAGATTTATTATAAGTGTATAAAGATGTTTTATGGAAAACAAGTTAAATCAAAACACTATAGGTGGGTTTTAGGAAGGGACTAGAAAAAAGAACTAACAGTTTGTCAAGAATTGCTTTTTCACTGCTCTCTCTGCTTCTGCGTGCCTTTGCTTAACACAACTTTCTTTTTGCAGACCAGCTTTCTCTCTTCTCTGGTTCATGTGGTGTACTATGGCTGACCCTTCATTCTAAAGTTTTCAGTTATCGCTACAATTATGTACTGACTAGTTATCTTTTAGTTCCAATTTGAAATTTCAAAGTACGATTATCCCTGTTTGGATTAGATATGCATCTCTTTTCCAGTCAGCTGTGGCCAGGAAGGGGTAGGGTAAGTAGAACAACAGGTTGGCAAGAAGACCCATACAAGGATTGGGGTGGAGGGACAGATTGTAGAGAAGGGAGTCGTGTTATAAATGAGGAAATATCCCAAAAGGTTTTACTATAGTAAAACTAAATGATTTTTCCAGTTTGAATAAGGTAGGAATTTATAGACTTTTTTGTTGAATGACTTAGGTTATGTGGATATAACTAAGTAAATAAAAATGTTCTCCCATTAAAACATGAATCATTTTTGTCATTTCATGTCAGGTCTTATTATGTAATACATTATTGCCTGTGAAAAGTAAGAATAATTATGTTTATTGCTTACTATATGTTAGGCACTGTGTCAGATTCTTTATGAATGTTATCTTTAATCATGTTTTAAAGGTGACACTATCTTAGAGATTAGGAAACTGAGACTGTGGGAAGTTAAGTAAATTGCCTAGGGTCACACAGTGAGGATTTCTTCAGATAACAATAATTATCTTAGAATCTAGGTTGATTCGGGATCTGTCTTACATACATTGATTTTAAAGGAGACCAGTAAAGGTATCTATAATTTATTTCACTATCCAATTTATAAATAGTAGGGAACCAATTTTTAAAATGCTCTTGAAAATATTCAGACTGACTCTAGGTTGGAGTTTGGCATTTATGTTTGTTAAAGATCTATGAGAGGAAAGTAATCTATTTTCTGAAGGACTCTCTATGAAATTTAGACTAGATGTAATGGTTGGGGGGGAACACATTAGTAGAAGTAAATTGTCTTTAAGGCTGTATGTTTATGCAAAAGACGTTTTGTCATTTTTAACTTTAAGACTCACTAAAAATTTTTAAGCATATCAAATTACTTTCCTAGTTTGATAGAGGCCAGATTAACTTTTGCCCTTACTTTTTTAAAGGATTGGGGTGGCCAACAGAAGAAAGCAAATAAATCATCAGAAAAGAATAAGAAAAAGCTTGGTGTCGAAAGTGATAAAAGGGTAACTAATGATATTTCTCCGGAGTCATCACCAGGAGTTGGAAGGCGAAGAACAAAGACTCCACATTCGTTTCCACATAGTAGATATGTGACTCAGATGTCTGTTCCAGAGCAGGCAGAATTAGAGAAACTTAAACAGCGGATAAACTTCAGTGATTTAGATCAGGTTTGTGAATTATTTTAAAAAATCAAGTTATAACTATGGGAAATACTTAGAATGGATTAAGTAGTTGTTTTAAGAATGAAAAGTAAACTTTTTATTTCCTTTTTCTTAGTTTCTGTGTATATGGAAAGAAATTTTAATTGGTGGCGGTATTATGTTCTTTGGAGGGCAAAAACTTTCTAAACTTGCTAAGGTCAGGTCTTTTGTAGCTTTATTACTAATACTCTATGACTAATATAAATCATTTCGCCATGGAACTAAATTTTACATGTTAGTAACTGAATAAGGTTGCTATTAAGCAAAAGGGAGATCCAGTTTAGAATATTTATCATTGGCTAAGTGTGGGGTGTTCTGGATTACCTCAAGTTTAAAATAAGCGGATGGTATTAAAATCACTGAAATAAAATTTGGAACTAAAAGTAAGTGGAAATGATAATGAACTCTTAACAGATGCTTTATTGTCACATCTGTGCTTTAGAGAGATAAACAGTTTACCAAATTTGCGTAAAAGTATATTCAAGTCTGATACGGTGGTGGTGGTGATCACATGTCATTTAATCATCTAGTTAAAATTACTGAACATTTACTATATATCCGACACTGAGCTGAGCACTTTTCAGGCAGTGTTTCATCTGGACACATCTTAATGCTGATGTTTATATTAATTAAGATCTACTCATTGGATCCAAAGCCCATACAAAATTCGGTGAACAAGTATGATTAGGAATGTGAGTTATAGATAGGGTTTGTCGTCCTGGTACATCATTTAGACTGATCTTGCTCAGATTCATCAGTTGATTTATGTCAGACAAAATGAGGAATAGGACGAGTTGATCAAATTTTGATATTTTAGCAGAAGATTTTTTTGTAGATTTGAATCATTTTTGAATCTTATGGACAGAGCTATTTATGTATACTTCCTGACTTAATATCTGATGGTAAAGCTGATGAAGAAAGCTGGAATTTTTTTTTAATTATTGAAAAATTAATATTTGTGGCATTTGGCTTCTTTTTCATATGTAGAGAAGCATTGGAAGTGATTCTCAAGGTAGAGCAACAGCTGCTAACAACAAACGTCAGCTTAGTGAAAACCGAAAGCCCTTCAACTTTTTGCCTATGCAGATTAATACTAACAAGAGCAAAGATGCTGCTATAAGTCCTCCAAAGAGAGAAGTGGTTGGTTCAGCACAATGTAAAGAGTTGTTCGCCTCTGCTTTAAGTAATGACCTTTTGCAAAACTGTCAAGTCTCTGAAGAAGATGGAAGAGGAGAGCCTGCAATGGAAAGCAGCCAGGTGAAAAATGTTTGTTTTGTTCTTTGCTTTTCTGAGTTTCAAAATAGAAATATTAAGATTAAGATTATTGGGTTATGCATATAGGAATTTTAGCTAAGTACTTCTAGACTCACCTCATTAATCTCCGATTCATTAAATATAGTATAAATTTCTTCTTATCCAAAATGATTGTAGAAATGGCATATTGTAAATTTAAGGCTTCTGTTTACCTGCCAAAGGCTGTGTGCTAATTTTTTAGTAAAGAGGAGTTTGAAATGTTGTGATTAGTAGGTTGTAATAATTTTTTTAAATGGTTCTATAATTCTTTTGAAAAGTACTTTAAAAAGTCTAATACTTTTACTTAGAAGGAAATAATATATAAACATTAGAAAAAATTTGCATAAATAGTAGTTTAAAGGCATGCAGTTCTATAAGTAAAATGTTTTGGGTAATGTAAATTGAAACTAGTTTTGAAATTCTTATATTCATAGTAATTGGGGTTGTTAGTATTGCCAGTTATGTTTTGGTTAAATTATAAATTTAATTCAGATATTTTGCATGTATGAATTCAAATGATAAATGTAGACATATCTTTAGTTACTATATTTGAAATAAATATGTAGAAGTGTTGCTATGGAATGCATTATGCTCAGTTTTACATATGGTTTATTTTCATGCTTTTTTTTCCAAATTTCTTTATGCAGATTGTAAGCAGGCTTGTTCAGATTCGTGATTATATTACTAAAGCTAGTTCCATGCGGGAAGATCTTGTAGAGAAAAATGAAAGATCTGCTAATGTTGAGCGCCTTACTCATCTAATAGATCACCTTAAAGAACAAGAAAAGTCATATATGAAATTTCTCCAAAAAATCCTTGTAAGTTTTGAACCTTTTCAATAATGTGTTGATTTATTTTTGTGGTATATTAGTGTGCATATACTGATGACATTCTGATTCCACCCCAGAGGAGTTAATGTATTTTCAAAAAATCGTGACATCCATTATAACATTTTATTGCCCTTTTTAATAGTTGTATGATTTATACCACTAAAATATTTCAGGCTAGAGAAAATGAGGAGGAGGATGTTCGGACTATAGATTCAGCTGTGGGATCTGGTTCTGTAGCTGAGAGCACATCGCTAAACATAGATGTGCAGTCTGAGGCTTCAGATACCACGGTAAGCGGCTTTTTGGTAATTAAAAGTGCTGGAAATGAAGATTTAAACTTTCTCCCCATTTTTCAAGATGATATTTTTATAGGCATTCCTTAATGAAAAGTATGTTTCAGGGAAGAAACCCTCAAATTGTTAATGCTGTATATATTATTTCAAAACACGGGAGTACAAAAGTTTTACTTACTAGCAAACACTTAACATGGTTGATTTAAAAATAAGATTTGTGATCTGCTTGCAGAAACACAGTTTTTCTGTTGGTTTCATTAAGCACAGCTTTTCTCATTTTACGAAGCATTGGGAAAGTTAAAATTCATCATGAGTATAAAAGCTAGGAGTACAAAATATCATTACTAAGTATATTGTGTCTTGGAAAAATCTTCAAGTTCTATTGCTATTGAGGACTCATTTGAAGGCTGCTAGGACTTTTTAATACCTCGGGCTAGCTTTGAACTGTAGCAAAACCAGATGACTGAAACATCAAGATGAAATTGGGACAGGGTATCATTTACATTGTGATTTAATCATGGTGATAAAAATAAAATTTCTAACTCTACAAAATGTCTTTTGGAAGAATAATCAGGAATTCACAGAACTTTGAGGAAAACTTTGTAAAATAAACTTAGTTCATAGAAGGTAGTGTGCTTCAGAACTAGTGTGCTTTTAAGCATTTTTATTTTAGCAGGTGCATCTATAGCCATGCATTAGTAAACTTGAAAATTTGTTGTCAGTAAAGCTTTTCTTATGAAATGATAACCATGTATGTCCATCTTTTGTTTCTGAGAGATGTTCCGAAATACCATTCAGCATGAGAAATTTGAGGGTTTGTTTCCATTCAATGTTGACCTGCATAGTTTCTTACCTGCCTCTTTCTCTTCCCTGCCCTTCCTAATTTGAAGAGGAAATTTGAATTTTTTTCCTACATTATTTTCACCAGGAGATAGATACTCGCAGGGCTTGATCCAAACAACTGTTGAAAATAGATTCTGTTGTGGGGAAATTGTTTTTCTGTTTACAGTGGTGCTGGGAATAATTTTTTTCCTCACATTTCATTCCAGCAGAAATAGAGGAATTGGGGAATGTGGGTAAAGGAATTCTGTTGGGGAGGGGTGGGAAATGGTATAGTTGATTATTTTGATTTGTATACTAGCATATATAGTGTTCATTGTGATGAGAATTTTTTTCATAACATAAAATGATATAATGAAAGTTGATAATAACAGCAGAATAAATGTTAAAATGTGCTCCAGTTGTATAGTTTGGCAATTGCCTAGGATATGATATGATACTTGATTATAGTAAGTGTTAGTCTAGTCTACAGAAATTTAAAAGTCTTAAGTTTATTGTCACTTGGGGGAGGGTAGATTGATTTTTAAAGAGATGGACTGGTAAATTTTTTGTATTTATTCACAAGGCTGGCTTGTATATTAAACAGGAGTTTGTATTAAGAAATTAATATGCTACACTATTTAATAAAGGAGGCATCTTTTAGTCTGAGAATTCGGCCGTGCATTGAGGACAAACTAGGGAATTCAGCTTCACAAGAACAGGTTTCAGACATTGACGTTACCACAAGTCCAAAAGGGAAAGGTGACAGACCTCCTCAGAATGGCAGGGAACTGAGGCCTAATAGGAAATATAGCCGAAAACGTGGATTTCCCTCAAAGGTATATTTCACAATATTAATTTGGGAAGTCTCTAAATGAGCACCTCTCTTGTTCACATTTCCTCTTCCTTATTTGCCTTTCTGTTGCTATTATTCTTAAGTATGTAAGCTATTAACATGGCTAATTATACTGTAATTTGCCTTAGTAAAATACTGTCCTTTAGTGTTTTTATTCTTCTCGGCTTTCTTATACTCTCCTATGGGTTATATGTGGCAGCTGTATTTAATTTGTATTAACAAAGAACTTAATCCATTTTCTTTTTTGCTGTTGAGAACTCAAAATAGAACATTCTTAAACCTTAACCATTAGTTGCCTTTTTTTTCTTGATATTTGTATTCATGGATGAACATGGTGCTTTTAAGTTTTGTCTTAATTCTTGCAGTCATTCATTAAAGAAAAAGAAAATGGAGTAAGCTGTTAGCTTTCCTGTCTTTCTAAGAATGATGTATTTTTATAGTGCTTTTTTCCCCTTTTTTCTCTTGTGGTTTATATTTTCTTTTTTTGAAAACCCCTTCCATTTTTTTTTTTTTTTTTTAAAGAAAAATACTAAAGCAAGAAAGTTGACTTGTTGGTAATGTTTCTCCTGGTTTTTTTTCCTCCACTGTTTGCTCTAAATTTTTCATGATTTCCATAAAGGCACTCAGGAAAGGTTTAAAGACAGCTCTTTGTGTGGTTACACTTAAAATAAGTTTCAGTAAAAGCGTTTGTAAGAAAGTACCCGTTCCTATTGGCAAGGAAAAAAATCCTATTTTAATAAGTAGAGATTAATTTCTTATGTTTTATTAGTAGCTTATATTAACTAGGGGTGGTCTTTATTTTGTTATGCACTTTTTTTTTTTTTTTTTGGGCTGTTTAAAAATGACAAAACCTCTAAATATTTTGGCAGGTTTTGGTTTTGTTTTGCTTTGTTTTGTTTTTTCCTGGCTCCCACAAGGATTTAAGGATACAGTTTGAAATCAGCTAAGATGATCTTACTATGAAATATTAAGCAAAAGTTGCCCAATACAACAGAAGAGTAAATTGAGTGGCTGATTATTTTTAAAACTAGTAACATTAGAGAAGAGAAAGTGTGAGACTCAATAAATATCCTTTGGAACTTAATGTTCTCTTTAAGTTTTCTGAACAGTGACAAACAGGAAAATCTGCCAGTGTTTCTTTTTTTTCCGAAGCTGATATATTTACTTTTAAAAACCATTTTTCTGTTTTTTAGTTTCCTTGAAAAATAGCCGTATGTGTGAATATTACTGTCTATTGAACTTCATTCTTGGAGTTTATTCCAATTGATTCTCTTTAATCTTTTGATTCTTAGGGCCATCCTAGGGTAGTAGTTCTGTCAGTACTCTATTCGTAGTATTATTTTATTAGAAAAAACTCCTCATTCTCACCAACTGACTTTATTTTTCCTCTGCTATGCAGAATTGTATTCTCCCTACCTCATCTTCATTCCCTACTTACCATTTTTTCAAGACGTCATACTCTTTTAGGACAGTAGGAAAAAAGTTCTGATTTAGAGCTTAAAATAACCTTCTGAGTTGTAGCTTGATAGGAAATGGTTGATACTCTCCAGCTGCTTATAAGGACAGAGTCCATTTTCTGGAATATTTTATAGACATGATGACACTTAGCATACTTTTTAAAAAGAAGCCTTCCACAAGTACCTGTGCCCTCATTATTTTCTCATACTCCTCTTTCCTACACATTCACTAACAGCTTTTAGAGACTTTATTAAGCTTTTAAAAATATTATCTACTATTTTTTTGATATTATTTCCATCATTTCTAGTTATTTCATGTGGGCTAAGTTTGTCTCCCAAACCAGACTATGTTTCTCAGACATGGTGTCTCAGACTTTTGTATTTAATACTACCTGAGCACATAATTTTGAGGCTGGCAGTATGGTGTGGAAAACACCAACCTAGAACTTAGGAACCTGATTTGCCCTGTGATACTGGACTTATCATTTCTCACCTTTCACATGAAAAAAATGGAGTACATATTATCTGAAGTACTTTTCAGCCAAAAAAATAAATTTGGATCCATGAAAAATTATTGGAGGAACCTCATTTGACTACAGAAAAGGAAGAGTTTTCTGAAATTGAAATTTCAATTCTGAAATTGTATGTAGTTTAGGAGTTCATGTCTAAGTTAAATTTTTTATCTGTAAACTAAAAATGTACTTGAGGGAGGTGACTCAAAAAGTTTAAGTGAAAATAGTGTTTGAAAGGTGAATATATGCTTCACTTCCTTTTTGGATTCCTGTTCTGTGCACTGTCCTCTTGACATGTTCTAATCCCTAGGTATTTTTATTTCCAGTTTCTCATTTTCCCTTTTTTAAGATTTGTAATTCCTTCTTGCCTCCCTCAGCTCAGATTTCCTGATTATTAGTTTGAAATGTTAGTTATATGGATGCAAGCAAAAGTTATTAAGTAGTAATAAACTCTCCTAATTTCAAAATTGTTGGGAATTCATTTTTGGATTAGTGAAAAATCTGGAGGTAATTGTGTTTCCTTTAATAAATAGTTCAGAATTCTTTATAATTTGAGTATCAGAGTTTTACAAATAAATGTGTAACAACTGGCACCTGGGTGGCTCATTTGGTAAAGCCTCTGCCTTCCTGCCTTCTGCTCAGGTCATGATCCTGGGATCCGGGCTCCTGCTGCGTGCCCATTCCCCCTGCCCCGCTTAGCGGGGAGCCTACTTCTCCCTCTCCCTGTGCCCCGTCCCCCCTCCCCCCCATTGCTATCTTTATCTCCCTTTCAAATAAGCAAATACAATCTAAAAGAAAATGTGACTAACAAGGATTAAAGTTCTTTTTAAAAGTTTGCTTCTTAAAGGGTAAAAACCCAGAATGTTAGTCAACTATTTAAAATTAGAGATCTTTAAGGTTTCATTGAAGGTTGAACTACGTATTTTTGAGAGCTGGGAGGATTATAAATAGAAATAAGCCAGAACTAAGAAAATGAATTCTGACAGGAATGAATGTTAGTGTTAGCAACTTAACTCCACTTCTATAGGTGAGGAGAAAACTGAGTACACAGTAGTTAATTTGAAAAAGGCTTTAGTTTTTTGGAATTTTGAGACAACAGAAAATCTTTAGTAAGTACTGATATGACCAAGATAGTTGCTTCTCTTCCACGTTCGTGAAATCTAGTCAGTCAGTACAGGATAGAGGCAGCACTAACTGAGTTCTCTGATTTGTACATCAGATATTCCTACCACAGTCTTTCTACTTCCTTATTTGACCTTACTTTCTTCCAGTATTTAATTTAGAGCCGTATACTTACTCACTTGGGAAGGTAAAGAGAAGGGATTTTTGCAGAGTATCGAGAAAGGATGTCACCCAGGAGGGAATCTCTGGAGCCATCTGTGTTTCCATAATTTCTCCAGGAATCACATGTACATACATAAAGTAGATCAGTGCATTTTTACCTTGAAATGAAATTATTGAACTTCTTTATTCTCCTTAATAACTTTGGCAGTTGGGATTATTCACTTAAAATATGCATAACCCCAACCAAACTTTGGTAGCAATGCAAGTTTAAAATTGACTAAATGTTTCTAAGTTAATAGGAATATTCTGTGTAAATATTCCATAAAATCTTTAAACTTCCAAAATAGAAGGTTTTTAAAAAGGTAAATTATTGAGGAAAAATTCCAGTATGGTATATATACATTTCTTATGTAATTTGGCTTATACTTTATTTTTCCCCAGTTATATTTAAATTAGTTTCTTTGCTTGATTGACTTTTATTTTTTTCTTGTTGGGTTAAATTTCACTGGTTTTAAGATTAATACTTAACATTTTATAATTTTTTAAAGTCACATCTATTTAATCTAGTTCCTCTACTTTTAGATAAAATGATAGCTTTTGGAGGGAATTTCTGAGTATTTAATTTCTCAGATATAGCTAAGTAAGCATAATTCAAAAGAAAACATAATATTGCTATCTTCAATACAAAATATAAAGTTTTCTCCTTTATTTTATGCTTATGAAATGAGATGTAAGTAAATGAAAGCTGCTTACATCAAATTATTAAATAAAAGTGTTTCTATAATTTTTGTCCTTGGTTAGAAAATAGTGGGTTTTTGTTTTATTAGTGTTTTTTAACATCACTTCTAGAAGTGGGGCAGAATGTCTTTTAGTCTGATCTTCAAGGATATTTTTAGGATATTAACCTGGTATGATCTGTTCTTCCTTTTTGATAAGGTCTGGATCCTTCGTTTGTGTGTGGGGGTGTGTGTGTAGCTCTTTTTGACCTTTTGACCTGTTTTGTATGCTTTTTTTTTTTTTCTTTGTTAATGCCTCTTCATGCTAAGCCATTGATTATGATCTTTTACTGTGAATTACCTAACTAACTTTACATGGCAGGCTATCTCTGTATCATCATTTTATTCTTACTCTTTTTTTCTTCAAGTCTACTGAAACTACTTACCATTGTGTTTTTAATACTAATTTATCATCTGTGTCTGTGCTGTACCATTGGTAGTTGAAACAGGAACATGAATTTTAATAATCATATATAAGTATTGTTGGTTTTATTTTCCAGGCCAGAGATCCTCAGCAGGAGCCTATGGAAGAGATAGAAAATTTGAAGAAACAGCATGACTTATTAAAAAGGATGTTACAACAGCAGGAGCAGCTGAGAGCTCTGCAGGGACGACAGGCTGCGCTTCTTGCTCTGCAGCACAAAGCAGAGCAAGCTATTGCTGTGATGGATGATTCTGGTAATGTGACAGTGTAGCATGTTGTTATAAGTAAGGCTCAATTGATAGTGGTATTGCAAGGTGGATACTGGTTATTATATGATCAGATCTTGATTGTTGACTAGTTTAGAAACCTACATATGAGGCTTACCCTGTCCTGTGCTTTTCTCTGGTTATGCAGAAAAGGTTGCAGGGACAACTCCTGGCCAACATTCTGTACCGGGCAGCCAGCCAGCTCGCTCTCCTTTTCATCAGAGAGTACCCTTAAGAGGTAAAAGGAACAGGCTGTAGTTCTGTTTTTGTACCTCACACTGATAGGGCTCTTCATGGTTTTTTTTCCCCCCACTTTTATTTACCTGGGATTGCCATACTTTTCTTGCCTACCAAGGAAAGATCAAAACCTTAAGGGAGAAAATACATGAATTTGTAGAGCTCCTTTAGCTTCTCATGTTGGTAGTAGCTCTTTTATTTCAGTTAGGTGCCCAGTTGTATATACTAGTTCCTTTGAACTGTATTTATATTCTGTATATAGTCTTCCTGAGACTCAGAAACGTTTTTTTCATTTTTCCTTCTTCCTTCTTAGCCATGTATTATTTAGGTGGAAATTATACTGAATTCTTTAGTATGGAGTCTAATTTTATAGTTTCAACATCTTCAAACCTGTCAAAACCTGTTTAATTTCTCATTAAGCTGAAAACAACTTGTTACCTAGTAAAACTCAGTAAAAACTAAGGTATATTTCCTAGTCTGTTATCCTAGTCTAATGATAATTTATTTCCTGTGGGCTATTTTAGGTCCTCACTGAGGTTACCTTGTTATTACTGAATTTATGCTGCTGTCCACACCTAGCTAAGTGGCTTAGCCCTCTGATCACTGTTATACATAATTTAATTTTGTGTTTTCATATGGAACTGTGTTACCTGCAAGTAACTTACTCTTTTGTAATAATTATATAATTGTATATTTTATATATATAATATATATAGTAATAATTAGATACATTTTCAAAACATTTTTACCTTGTAAAGTCCAGTATTTATTAGCTTTTACATTTATATTTAGGAAATAGATAATTTAGAACAAAACAAAATATTTAAACAATGACATACTAGTTAATGGCTAATGACTTAAGTATTTTAAGTATTTTTCAAGTTCTAGATTTCAGAGATTTGCCTGTGGTGGTGATGATATTTCAGGTACTTAATGTTTACATCATCTCATTTGATTATCAAAAAATTGTAGGTTAGTCACCAGAACTTTTTCTCTTAATCTCATGTGGGAGGGAGGAGCTCAAACATAGAATTTGTGACTTGCCAATACTTACATGATATATTAGTAAAATCAGATTTCTTGAATTCTAGGTCAGAGGTCTTTTCCTGAATATGAACTTTCTTATTTTTCTTTAAAGTATACTGTGAAGAGGCAGACACCAGGAGTAGAATGAGCAAAGGTTTAAGATTAAATTTATTTTTTATATGACTTTAAAAAGAATTTTAGGTTAGTAATTTTAAAGCATTTTCTCTTGTATTTATGAGATTTCTGATGAAAAACCAGACTGATATTTAATCTTCTGGTATGTAAGTGAGGCAAAATAATAGTCATGGGAAAGAGTCGTACTTTACTGAGCTGGCATTATGTGTTGGTAATCTGCACTGTAATTTCTTTCTTTTCAAAATGGGGTTTGCATGGATACTTGGGATTCTCTTTAGCCCTGAAATTCTAATTTCTCTTTGAAAAAGGTAGTATTTTTCCTTAAAACAGAAGCAGTTTATAGCTAGTGTCTCTTTTAGAGCTGGAAAGGATAAGCATTGGGGTGGTTGGATAGTAGAGCAGTGACCCCTTGTCAGAATTATCTTTGGAATACTGCCTCAGGAATACTGCCATAGGAAGATAAAAGCGATGGTCTTGTAGTATGCTTTTATCACAGGCAACTACTTTAGTAAATAATCTGTTCTACTGACAGGGTAGAACAAATCCAGCTGGCAAACTGTGGCCAGCTGGATTTGGCCCACTGCATAAAATAAAGTTTTATGGAACATATCTATGCCTGTTTGTTAATGTATCATTTGTGGTTGCTTTTTTCCTGCAATGGCAGAGTTGAGTGGTTGATACAAAAACTATTTCCACAAAGCCTGACTAATGTACTCTCTGAATCTTTATAAACAATTTGCCAATCCCTGTATTAGAGCATTGATTCTACTGGGGGAAGGTAGGGATTGAGACCTGTCAGTATCACTGTGCTTTTTCAGATTAACCACTTTCCCTGCCACTCCCCCAACCCAAGCCTGATAGGCCTGTCCTCTCCCTGCTCCATTGCGTCATTATTCTTAATTGGAGTGTTGCAGTGTCCCCCCTCAAATGATGGGACAGAAAAAGATGAATCGCTGAACTAGAGTCTTCTGTCCCTTTGTTTTCAGGTTAGTTAGACATTTCTATTAAAATGATTGTTTGGGAGGTAAATCTGAGGATTAACTAGTTTTAAATTATGTTAGGTAAGATTTTTTTAACACCCCCCCCCAAGTTTATTTTTAGCTTCTCAGAAATTGAAAAGTGTATTGATTGTTTGCTTTAATGAATAGTTATTAATTTTCCTTCCAGTTGTAACAGAAACTACAGGTAGCCTATCTGGAGTTAGTATCACCTCTGAACTAAATGAAGAATTGAATGATTTAATTCAGCGTTTTCATAATCAGCTTCGTGATTCTCAGGTAATTTAATTTTTTTTGTATAGTTGAGTTTAAAATCATATTAACTAAGCCAGTTGTTCCCAAACTTTACTATAGCATAAATATCACCTGGCATTTTGATTAAAAAAAAGAGGGGGGATCATTGGGATCACTGGGATCCCCTCACTCCCAAAGTATGTATGATGCATAAATCATATATGTATGATTATGTTGCTGGTAGTCTGGGGACTATTCTTGGAGAAACACTTAATTAGAGGAAAATCTGCGTTGAATGCAGTGATAATTGAAACTTTCTCCTTGTATGCTAGTAGATAATATGCTCTTTTTTCCTCTCAAAGATTCTTTATGGTCATGGTCATAACCTCTAAAGCTTAAGTTATATTTGAATCTGTGTCCGTAAGTAGTTTACTGACAATTTTGGAGAAAGTTCTTAAGTTTAATTTCAGAGATAATAAATGTTACAGTTTGATAACCTTTGTAAGTAATGATTTAAATGCAAAATTTCAATCTATGGGTCTTGAATAAGAAAGGGTGAAATACTAACCTCTTCACTGGAAATTAGTATGAAGAGTCAATGTTTCCTGTCTGAGGACCAGGTAAAAATAAATGAATATTGTCTACCACATTGTAGAATTAACTTAGCAATATCTAGCACTTTTTTTTTGGTGACCCAGCAAATGTCCCATCTCAGAGAAATTCTTTTCCATGTTCATGAGGAGATATATATATATATAAGAATTTTTGCGGCAGGTTTGGCCAGTAGCAAAAATTTAGAGGCAATCTAAATGTCCATAAACAGGAAAATGGATTAATAAACTATGATAAATGCATAGAGTGAAATCTTATAGTCAGAGTAAATGAGCCAGAGTTATAATAAATGAAAAACATGAGTTTAAGAAGGATACTACTTGGTTGATGTTTAAAAATTCATGAAGGATGTATATCTTATGTAGGTACAATAATAATGGAAACATACGTGCTGGTAGACACCTAATTCCAGATTGTGTTTATCTCTGGAGAGAGTAATGAGATTGGGGGCTTGGTATGTATAGAGAGAGCTTTAGTTAGATCTGTACTGTTACATTTCTCTTAAAAAAAAAAAAAGGAATTGATGCAAATGTGGCGGAATGTTAAGGTTTAAGCTCAGTGGTGTTTATTCATTTTATGATTTCCTAAGCTGTAGTGGATTTTTGAAAAAAATTTTTAATAGAGAACCATAGGAAAGAGATGGTAGGAAAAACTGATTAAGAAGTTAATGATGATGATTCTAAAAAGATGGCATGAGAGATAATGATATTTTTGAAAGTTTATATAAGGCATGACATTTTTAGCCCTTAATTTAGATCCAGATAGTAATTCAGTCCAGTGAATTCTAGACCACTGTGTAGTAATGTGTGTCCATAAAACCATATAGATGTTATTATAATGGCACATCAGGAAATAGGTCATTTGGGAATTAGAAAGGCATATGCTTACCCACCAGCACAACCTAGGCAAATATTTATTGCTCTTTATAAGGAATATTTATGTGTTTTTAAAATGAGAATCAAATCTTTCATTGCCTTGGTCGTCTTCTTTTTTTTATTTTAAATAAGCCTCCAACTGTTCCAGACAATAGAAGACAAGCAGAAAGTCTTTCATTAACTAGGGAGGTTTCTCAGAGCCGGAATCCTTCAGTTTCAGAACACTTACCTGATGAGAAAGTACAGCTTTTTAGCAAAATGAGAGTATTACAGGAAAAGAAACAAAAAATGGACAAACTGCTTGGAGAACTTCATACACTTCGAGATCAACATCTGAACAATTCATCGTGTAAGTAAAGCTGGCTCAGCAATATTAGATAGGGGACACATGAGTATATGTGCTGGCATGCAATAGTTAATTTAACTTAGTAAATATCTGGTGAATGAATGAACTCATAGTCACTGAGGAAAACTATAATATTTGAGGGGAAATAGGACTTACAACGCAATATATGTTGATAACCAAATAGATGGGAGATCTGTAATTTGGTAAAGGGAAAGAATAAACTTGGGACTTGAAAAATTGGTTGGATTTTAATTCAGGGGAAAGAAAAAGATAAGGTAAACTATTAGGTACTTCAACACACATTACTGGATTTTTTTTTTAGCATATTCAGATTTTCCCTTAAAAAGAAAACTAATCCAAATTTATACTTTGATTTAAGAAAAACTATCAAACAGATTTAGAAAGTATTTATTTTAAAAAAAGACATGACATGATCCCGGCGTCCTGGGATCGAGTCTCACATCGGGCTCCTTGCTTGGCGGGGAGCCTGCTTCTCCCTCTGCCTCTGCCTGCCTCTCTGTCTGCCTGTGCTTGCTCACTCTCTCTCCCTCTGTCTCTGACAAATAAATAAATAAAATCTTTAAAAAAAATAAAAAATAAAAAATAAAAAAAAGACATGAGGGGCGCCTGGGTGGCTCAGTAGGTTAAGCTGCTGCCTTCGGCTCAGGTCATGATCTCGGGGTCCTGGGATCGAGCCCCGCATCGGGCTCTCTGCTCAGCAAGGAGCCTGCTTCCTCCTCTCTCTCTGCCTGCCTCTCTGCCTGCTTGTGATCTCTGTCTGTCAAATAAATAAATAAAATCTTAAAAAAAAAATAAAAATAAAAATAAAAAAAGACATGAAAGACATATAGTACATATGGCTTAGTGCAAAAAATTTGTAACTTGTACCGTTTATAACTTATGGACTATATAAACTGAAAAGTTTATAACTTTTTTGAAATGAATTGTCATTTTAGGAGGTATAGGAAAAGCATAGTCATACTAGTTACACTTTAGGAACCACCTTTTCTGCATTACAGATGTTTTATTGCTTCTGTCTCATTGAGATCCAGTTACTGGTCCTCATTTGCTCTCTTCACACCTTCTCAAGCCTGCTTCTTGCCTCTTGTAGTAGGAGCTCTAGCATAGAAAACTGACCAGTAAGGTCAACCCCAGCTGGTCATAATTTTTCAACATCCCAGCTGTTGTCTTATTAAAGAAAAGACAAGGGATAGAAAAAACATCTCTGGAGTCCCTGTTCCTTATTCTTTACCCATCTCTTTTTCTCTGCTGTCCCCCCCAATAAACCTTAATATTTCCTACTGAAACATTCTCCTTTCTTTTCCCAAGACCTCTGTTAGTCTCTCTCGAGTGTAATCTAGTCCCGATGCTAATTTTTTTTTTTAAGATTTTATTTACTTATTAGAAAGCGAGTGAGAGCACAAGCAGGGGGAAGAGGAAGAAAGAGAAGCAGGCTACCCACTGAGCAGGGAGCCCAGTGTGGGGCTCGATCCCAGGACCCTGGTGTCATGACCTGAGCTGAAGGCAAAAGCTTAACCAACTGAGCCACCCAGATGCTCCCCCCATCATGCTTATTTTACACAGATGACACAGTTAAGGAAAACTTAAAATTTGAGAGTGGTACTGACTCATGGTCAGTTTTATATACATGATAAAGTAACACTCTGCCTACTGATGACTCTAAGAAAAGATTTTTTTCATACTGGGAAATAGTGTGAAAGCAGCACCAAAAGGTAGAACAGTCAAGGGATAGAGCAAAGAGACTGCTGGAAACCAGTTGTAGCAATTCATAATGTGAACAACAAATTATGATGGTTGTCCCTGTGAGAAAGAGATAAATGACTGTAGTTTTAAAGTGTTGGAGATGGAGAAGAGCAAAGATTCTTAATCTTTATTCATTGCCCTTGAAGGCATAAGGTATCTTTGTCTGATCCGTGTGGACAGAAAGTAGTTAACATACATTTAAGACTATAGAAGATAAGCCATCATCTAATTAGAAAATTTTATTGTTGAGTTATATTTCATGGGATGAAATATTTCATGGTCACTTTAAGTTTGTTTTATATCTTTTAGAACAAGGAAAATTCCATCTGGGAGACCAGATAAAATTACTCTGAGCTGTGGATTTGAAATGCTCTTTGGGGCTTAATCCCCTACGGTTGTAAAGCATTGTTGATGGTGTACTGAACATGATACACATTCGCCCTGAGTTTTTGTTTTGTTTTTGTTTTTTAAAGATTTTATTTATTTATTTGACAGAGCACAAGCAGGGGGAGCAGCAGGTAGGGGGAGAGGGAGAAGCAGACTCCCCAGTGAGCCGGGAAACCAATGTGGGGCTTGATGACAGGATCCTGGGATCATGACATGAGTTAGCAAAGTTAGCAACTTAACCAACTGAGCCACCCAGGTGCCCCACATTTTGCCCTGTTTAACTTAACCTAGAATTGGGTTTATCAGAGAAATATACTGGTTACTTTTTAAGATAGAATATAATAGTTCTTGTCAATTTCAGCCTTGTTTTTCCTTATTTTTGTCTTTCTCTTTTAAGTCTGTTTGTTGAATAAGCAGCCTGGCTATTGGATACATAAGTTTCTGAAATTTAAAGCTGCAGAATTTAAGATGTTACTGATTTTTACTTTTTATTTTTATGTAAGCAAACTGAGTAAGTGTGGTTTGAGGCCATATTTGTTTATTTATAGTAGCTGGTCTTTGTTTTGTTTTGTAGTTGTGCCTTCTTCATCCTCTCCACAAAGAACTGTGGATCAGAGAAGTACACCTTCAGCTCCCTCTGCGCCTTTAGGCTTAGCACCAGTTGTCAATGGAGAATCCAATAGCTTCACGTCATCTGTTCCTTATCCTGCTGCTTCTCTAGTTTCTCAGAATGAGAGTGAAAATGAAGGACATCTGAATCCAACTGAAAAACTCCAGTAAAATATTTTTACAAACATTGCTTACATAGAATAGAATTGAATAATGGGGATAAATTAAGTTTTTTTTTCCCTTGTTGAAAATTCTGGAAAAACTGAATTTACGTAATATGATAAATATCTTTATCATATCGTGTAACATATCATACCGTATTCTTCTAAGAATATGTGTATTAGAAGTGTATGTGCAGAAGAAGTATATGTGTGTTATATCTGCCTTCTTTGAGTTGTCCAAGAGAAATGTGACATTATAATACAGGTACCTTTTGTAAGCTAATGCATTCTCATTTTCCGGCTAAAGGATTAGAAATAGCTGGGATTGAATTAGAAGATTTTTATATTCAAATGATTCTAAATTCAGAGCCCGGGCCCTAGAGTCACAAAGCCTGGAAACTGTATCTCACAAGGCTGTGTGACCATGGACAAATAACTTATTCTCACTTTACCTTTGTTTCTTCATCTGCAAAATAGGGATAATGATATACCTGTTCATAAAGATATTTTACAGATTAAAAAACATTGGCATAATTTCTGTCACTTAATAGAAACTGAACAAACTTAATGTTTTGGGTAAGTGTGTGTTAGATCTCTGTGTGTTACAGATCAGGAACCTTCTGTAAATGCCTAATAATGTCTGCATCACTGATTTGCCTGAGAGGTAGTATTTAAGTTGAATATTTAGTACTTCACTATTAAGAAACCAAGTTGGCTTCAAATGAACACATGAAACTTTTTTTTTTTTATACTTTTTGTCTGTAGTAGGAAGGATACAAGAAAATTGGATGATGAGATATTGAGTAAGCTATTCTTGAAATTGAATTCATTGCTTTTTAGTCACACCCGCTAGATTTTGCACTAGGTTTGAATGTTGTCTTTGCTGGCTGCTTTTATATGGAAATATACTGCATGCTTTATTTTGCTGAAATGAGTATTATGTATGTATCTTTGTTATCAGGAAGTTAAATGAAGTTCGAAAGAGATTGAATGAACTGAGAGAATTAGTCCATTATTATGAACAAACATCAGATATGATGACAGATGCTGTTAATGAAAACACAAAAGATGAAGAAACTGAAGAGTCAGATTATGATTCTGAACATGAAAACTCTGAACCTGTTACTAACATTCGGTAAGAATTCGAAGTTTCTTTTTCTAACATGTTCCTCCTAATTGAATGCTTCTATTACGGAACAGGAAAACCTCAATAGAATGCCACTTGCTTTTTATTTAAGCTTTTCTCCCATAAGTCTGCTTAAGTCTACTATTTTGGCCAGCGTAAACGTAAGTTGGCCTGTAAAGAAAAACAAACGGAGAAGCACTGAGTACAGTAGTTTAGTAAATTTGCTCTTTGTTAGATAAAATGCAAGTAACTCATAAGAAGTATCTAACTCATAAGAAGTATTTTCCTGCCTTTTTATTTTTAGATATAACTTGGATTTTTTTGGATATTTTTCTTAAATTTCCAAATAGAAGTTTTTGAAAAGCAAGAGTCAATTATTCACAGTAGGAATTTAAATAGAGAAATAGCCAGTGATGTTCATAGTTTGGAATTATTTTATCAGCAGCTCTAAAAACTTTGATTTTATTTTTAATTCTTAGGTTTTTTTTTTCTTTTTTTCTTTTAAATAACTTCAGGCTGTTTTCTTTCTTTTAGAAATCCACAAGTAGCTGCAACTTGGAATGAAGTAAATAGTAATTCTAATGCACAGTGTGTTTCTAATAATAGAGAAGGGAGATCAGTTAATTCTAATTGTGAAATTAACAACAGATCTGCTGCCAACATAAGGGCTCTGAACATGCCTCCATCTTTAGGTATGATTGACTATTGATGTATAATTTTGCCATATTGTTTTTTTGAAATGGATTTTCTTTCATTAGTATTCTTCTTAAGTTTATTAAATTACTGATTTCATACATGCTTTTAGCAGATTGTCACTATAATAGAGAAGGAGAACAGGGGATTCATGGTGCACAAGGTGAAGATGATGAAGAAGAAGAAGATGAAGCAGAAGATGAGGGAGTCAGTGGGGCTTCATTAACTAGTCACAGGAGCAGTCTGGTTGATGAGGCTCCAGAAGATGCTGAATTTGAACAGAAGATCAATAGACTTATGGCTGCAAAACAGAAACTGAGACAGTTACAAGATCTTGTTGCTATGGTACAGGTAAATATTGCTTGATTTTTTTTTCCAAAGACTGTTAAAACGGTAATTCTTGAGTCACTTACTTTCTTTTAGTGTTAGAGTTGGTATTCAGTTGTTCAGGTACCTTCTCACTGCCTTCTGAAACATGAGGCAGATTTGTTTTGCATTTTTTTCTTGTGCTTCAATTTTTCCACTTTTTATTATGTGAAAAGGCTTCATAATGCAGCTTCTCTATTCTTGAATCCCAACTCAGTTTCTTTTCTATCTTCTTATCCTTTATAGGAATGAATTAGGCCCGTTTTTAGATGAATAAGAATACCAAATAACGCCCATCTACCAACTTAAAATTGCCTACCCAGTTTTGTAATTGAGTCAGCTCTAACTCTTTAAGGTTTTATTAGAATGATATTGCCAAAAGTTAAAATTTCATTTGAGGTTCTCAGAGAAATCATAAGTAAATATAAAGTTAAATAGAGTTAAATGTTTTTTAAAAAATGCAGTAGTTCATCCCAGCAGCCTTCCCTCCTCCCACCTTAGTAAGTGTATTGATTTTTAACAGAAGGTGTGGACCTACCTTTAGGAAGCTAAGAACTTAGTTGTTTTTCCAGTAGTCATTACAGATGTAAGATACTCTCATTTGTTTTTGTACTATGAGCTATTGGCACTGGTTTGGCAAACTAAAGACCAAAGTGAGAGAATAGAAAATCATAAGCAAGTGACAGTGGACTGGACATCGATTATTTGAAATCATTAAAATAAAAGTTACAGTTTAAGGGACACCTGAGTGGCTCAGTTGGTTAAGCATCTGACTTGGTTTTAGCTCAGGTTGTGAACTCAGGGTTGTGAGATCAAGCTCTGTGTTGGGCTCTGCTCAGTGCAGAGTCTGCCTGAGATTCTCTCCCTCTCCCTCCACTCTTCCCCCACTCAAGTGTTTTCTTTCGCTCTCTCTCTCTTTCAAATAAATAAAATATTTTTGAAAGGTTAAATTCTAAGAAAAATTATCTAGTAACAAGGGTTCCCATATCTGATGGTATGTTTTTAATTTTTTTTGTATTCTCTAGGAAGCTTTTCTTAGGTAGCTCAGTGTCTGGTCAAGATAAGAAAAGGCAGCTTAATGTTAGCCATTAGTGGGTAATTGGCAGCTCAGATTATAAATGTACTTTTTTGTTGTTTTAGTACTTCATTTTATGTCATTGGTAGGGGATGAACTCTTCAGTATTCTCTAAAAATCATGTACTTAATGTATTACTTTAATTTTTATGTTATGTAAATTTTATTGAACAGTGGTATTTAAGGTATGAATTGGATAATGTCTTTAGATTTCAAGATTATTTTAATGATGCTTCTTAGGATGATGATGCAGCAGATCATGGAGTTATCTCTACCAATACTTCAAATTTGGATGATTTCTACCCAGCAGAAGATGACAACAAACAAAATGCAAATAACACTAGAGGAAATGCCAATAAAACACAGAAAGATGCTGGAATAAATGAGAAGGCACGGTATGTTAAACTCATGGGCTTCATTAAATAAAAATTTAGTGCTTATTATTGAGAAGGTACTTATTGACTAGGTTCTGTATTAGGTCATGCTTAATGCTATCATCAGATTTATTGGAATCTGTAAATGTAATGTCAATTTAATTGTAGAGAGAAATTTTATGAGGCTAAACTACAGCAGCAACAGAGAGAACTCAGACAATTGCAGGAAGAAAGAAAGAAACTGATTGAGATTCAAGAGAAAATTCAAGCATTGCAGAAGGCATGTCCTGACTTACAGGTAACTGGGAACATTACTTCTTTACATTTATATGAAAAAAGATGTTTAAAATCTAATGTCATTGGAAAGTACCCTTGCCTTTTCTAGTACTGAGGTAACACATTTATATCAGTATTATGATTAATAAAACTAATGAACTAATGAAAGGGGTTAGGGATTTGAGTTTATACTATGAAAGACAGCACATAGGATTTGACTCTGATTACTTCTATTTTTCACTTGTTGGGCTACTTTAGATTCAGAACATGAGTATTCGTACCTATTAAATTAAAATATTCTGATTTCAGGGGCTCCTGGGTGGCTCAGTGGGTTAGGGCCTCTGCCTTTGGCTTGGGTCATGATCCCGGGGTCCTGGGATCGAGCCCAGCGTCGGGCTCTCTGATCAGCGGAGGGCCTGCCTACCCCTCCTTACTGCCTGCCTCTCTGCCTACTTGTGATCTCTGTCTGTCAAATAAATTAAAAAAAAAAAAAAAAAAAACCTTAAAATATTCTGATTTCAGCTTTGCATTTCCATCTTTTATTGGCCTAAAATTACATAATAAAGCCCTTAAACCATCATGAATTACCTAAAGAAATGAATTAAAATATTCATAGTTTGCTTATTAAGTAGTACTTTTTGATACTGAACGAAGAATGAGTAATATTTGAACGTTTCAGGTAATCAGGAGTAGGAGTATAGTTAATACAGGAAGTGAACACCAATTCTTTTTGAGATTTTTCTTAAAATGTTCTGGTTAGCTTTATTCCACAGGTTTTGTTTTCAAAGAAAGGGAAACACATCCATGATAATTCTCTGTAACATTTTTTTGTTGTCCTAGACTTCTAACCTTTTCTATTTTATCTAATCCTTTTTCCTTCTCCTTAGTCTAATGTCCAGAGGAATAGATACAAGAGTTGGGTTTGAGTATATGAAATTGTCCACAGTAGCATTTTCTCCCTCTTGGCTGTTGTTCCTGAGGCTTGGCTGCTACTCATCCATTTCACCCTGTGTTTTCATCTTTGTTTTCTTAAATCTGGCTTTCTTTGGATCATGATGGCAATTGAAGTCTGATAATAACTAATTCAATATGGTACTAGAGCCCCAGAGAAATGGTAAAATAACTGCTTTTATGAAATTAACGTAATTGCTTTAATTCCTCATAATGGTTTTTACTAATACTTTTTTAGCTGTCTGCCACTAGTGCGGGTAATTGTCCCACCAAAAAATATATCCCAGCTGTTACTTCAACCCCAGCTGTTAACGGAAATGAAACTGGTACAAGCAAATCTGGTTTTGAGCCTGAAGATTCTTCAGTAGTAGATAATGAGGTATTGTATGTTGTACTTGTTGTTCCGAGTCTTATGTCACATCTTAAAGAAGGAAAACTGAATACCTGTGAAACATGTTTTTAAATGCAGCATGTTTTGTGTCTTTTAGCTGGGAGGAAATAATTTTTTCAAAAAAGTTATTAAGTTGGGATCCTTTCAAAATAATTTCAAAATTATTAGCAAATATTTGGCAGAATTGTATTTAAGGAATAGTTGCAGCAAACAGTAATCATTTCAGTTAGGAAGATCTGTTCTTTGGCCTTTTGTTTATATGTGATTTGTAGAAAACATTATACCTTTCTCTAAATAGTTGATGAAGTGTATTTGGCCACTACTTTCATTAAAAAATTCATGCCTAATTTTTTCTTACTGTGAAAATACTGTTTTACCATGGGATATCTTAGTGTAAAAAGTATAGAGTGAGAATAGAAGTCTTTGTATTTTATTCTTTAAGGCTAAAACAAATCCGTATATTTTAACTAAGTCAACTCTGACATTTAAAATAATAGCTGTGGTCAGAAATGCGAAGACATGAGATGTTAAGGGAAGAGCTACGACAGAGGCGAAAGCAGCTTGAAGCGCTCATGGCGGAACATCAGAGGAGGCAAGGTCTAGCTGAAACTACATCTCCTATGGCTGTGTCATTGAGAAGTGATGGATCTGAGAACCTGTGTACACCTCAGCAGAGTAGAACAGAAAAGTAAGAGAGGTGTTTAAATCTTTTTTTTTTTTTTTTTTTTAACATCACCTGCTAAAGGCATGTAGGGTGGGCAGCTTCATTTCCCCTCTCAGCTCAAATCTGCTCTTTCACTGAGGCTACTGTTCAGGCATCACCTTTGTGGTTCAATTTAACTAAATCCAGCTATTTTCTGTTCTAACTTCTCAAGGTACTTGATCAGATGGTGATACAGATTTTCTTTGAGTTAAGTTTTATATGTTCTTAGTTAAGTTTTATAAAAAAGTTACCTTGTAGTACTTCCCTATCAGGCCAAAAATAAGGACATTTTTACTTAAATGAGGAATCTCGTATTTGTAAATTCCCTAAGGATTAGGAAATTCACTTTTGGGCTGCCTGGTTAGCTCAGTTGGTTAAGCATCCAGTTCTTGATTTCAGCTCAGGTCATGATCTCAGGGTTGTGAAATTGAGCCCTGCATTGGGCTCCACACTGAGCATGGAGTCTGCCTAAGATTCTCTCTGTCCCTCTTCCTTTGCTCTTCCCACTCCCACACCTTCCTTGCATGTTTGTGCTCTCTTAAAAATAAAAAAATAATTAAAAGATAAAGTAATTGCTTTAAAACATTTAGTTTTTAGCATTTACATTTGAAATTTCTGTATTTAGAATATTTCCAAAAAATTGGCCATCTGTAAGGTTGCTTAATTATCTGTATGGGAGTTTTCAGAGCTAACATCTTGAAATTCAGATTTGTTGTGACCTTACCTTTTGATATCCTCAGATGGCATTCCTGGAACATTGCACCAAACTTCTGTTCCTCATAGAAGAACTTGTTCTGTTTTGAAGTCCCAAATGTACCTTATTTACCAAATTTATATCTGTAGTATTTTTTTTTTCTGTTTGGAGTACCAAACATCTGAATTTTGGAAAAGTTCTTTGGATATTTTTCGTAATAAGCATCTAGGTTTGGGAACCATGGCTCTAGAATTATGCTTTCCAATATGGCAGCCATTACATTACCTACCTGTACCTATTTAAATAAAATAAAATTAATAACTCATTTTCTCAGTCACACCAGCCACATTCTAAGTGCTCATTAGCCATGTGTACCTAGTGGTTACTGATTGGATACATGCGTACAGATCATTACTACTATTGCAGAAAGTTCTTTTGGACAGCTCTGCTCTAGAAAACTGTCGCTCAAGGTAAAGTTAAAAATTGAGGGGGTTTAGTTTAGGGAAAAACTTCTAGGGGATACAATTTTCTATTTGAAGAATTGTTTTGTGGAAGGCAGAATAAACTATTTCATATATCAGGAGTGGAGAGAGTACCACCCATCTATGTTGGTACTTTTATTCAGTGAAATTTTATAAACAAAATGTTTCACATGCATACATATGTACATGGTACAGTGTCTGGCACAGTAGTTGGTAAAGTATTTAGCCAATCGCCAAAATGATCTCTTATTTTTTATCTCTTAATCTCTAGAACAATGGCAACTTGGGGCGGTTCTACTCAGTGTGCACTGGATGAAGAAGGAGATGAAGATGGTTATCTTTCTGAAGGAGTCGTTCGGACGGATGAGGAGGAGGAAGAAGAAGAGCAAGATGCCAGTTCCAATGATAACTTTTCTGTGTATCCTCCTAACAGTGCAAATCATAACTCTTACAATGTAAAAGAAACTAAGAATAGGTTAGTTTCACTGTTCCAACTTTTTGTTTGATTCCTGACGTCTCAGGTCTTTGTGACACTAAGCACTTCTCTGATGCTTTGAACCTACTGGGTGTCATAATTTAATTCAGTTCTGACACTACTTGGAATTAGGGCAGATGCCACAAGTGAAGGGCTCAGTCGCACAAGATTGCCCTCACTTCAGATGTCAGTTGCAAGTCCAAGTCTCCATGTACTCACACTTCTGTTTGGCTTTGCTAAAAATGTGGGGGTTCCCACAAGCCCTCCTCAGGTTTTATAATTTGTTGGAACAACTCATGAACACTGCCTATTATAAAGGATGCAACTCAGCAACAGCCAAATGGAAGAGATGCATAGGACAAGGGATGGGTGGGGGAAGGGGCACAGAGCTTTCATGTTCTCTCAGAGTGCGCCATCCTCCCAGCATTTCAATGTGTTCACCAACCCAGAAGCTCTCCTAACCAGCTTGATAAGGAGTTTTTGTGGAAGTTTCATTCCCTAGGCACAACTGATTAAATCATTGGCCATTGACATTAAACTCACTCCAGACCCTCCTCCTCTTGAAGTTGGCAGTGGGGCTGAAAGTTCCAACCCTCTAAACACTTGGTTGGTTTTTTTAGTGACCAGTCCCTGTCCATGAAGCTATCTAGGGCCTCCAAGAGTCATTAGCATAAACTTAGCTGTGGTTCAAGGGGGTCCATTGTGAATAACAAAAGACACTTCTAGGTCTCAGGAGATGCCAGGAGTTTTGGGAGCTCTATGCTGGGAATTTGGGACAAAGACCAAATACATTTTTTATTGTATCATAGAGTTTTTTCAAGATAGATCCCAACTAGACTGGATCAAGATTCATAAGCTTTGATCTTGGCTTCTTTTTGGGGGAGTTAAGCAAAACTGAAAGTCATAGATACTGAAAAAGACCTAGCAACGTAATATTCATTACATTGTTATTTCTAACGGTGAAAAATGTTTCATGAGTGGAAGATGGTTAAGTAGCTCCACTTGATGATGGCATTTCATGTGGCTAAGTTTAAAGCATGAAGAATAGAAAAATGCTTGTGATATAATAAAATATTTTCATTTTGTAGAATATAGAATTACATGGATTTGTCTGTGTAAGACATTAAAAAAGAGTAGAAAAAAAAAGATAATTCACAAGGCTAGAAATCTAGAATTCCCTTTCCCTCACCACCTCCCCCTCATTTCCATACTTTTGAAGTCCTTTGAACTTAAACTTTGATCTTAAGAAAATGTTGGTCTATGAACCGTGGTATCAGGATTTAGTGCCAGATTTTAAAAACCAAATAATTACATTTGATGACCTAGCTCTTTAAATCTGTGTTAGGTGGAAGAACAATCGCCCTTTTTCAGCAGATGGAAATTATCGTCCTTTAGCTAAGACAAGACAGCAGAATATCAGCATGCAGCGTCAGGAAAACCTTCGCTGGGTGTCAGAACTCTCTTATGTAGAGGAGAAAGAACAATGGCAAGAACAAATTAATCAGCTAAAGAAACAACTTGATTTCAGTGTCAATATTTGTCAGACTTTGATGCAAGACCAGCAGGTAAAGTTTACTATGAAAGTGCATTTTTTGTATCTTGTTTCTGAAGCATGCACATTTTTCTCAAGTCATCAATAACTGTTATGACAATTTGTCTTTCCATAGACGCTATCTTGTCTGCTACAAACTCTTCTCACGGGTCCTTACAGTGTGATGCCAAGCAATGTTGCCTCCCCCCAGGTACACCTTATCATGCACCAGTTGAACCAGTGCTATACTCAGCTAACATGGCAACAGAATAATGTGCAAAGGTAATGTGTTTCTTAGGAGCAGTAAAACTATGTAGTAAATGCTAAAGCTCAGCATGTGTTTTATAGTTATCTTCTGGGGGGGAAAGGACATGAGCAGAATTGAATATTCAAACATTTTCTATACCCGAAAATTTTACTAACAATGATTTGCCCGATGTTCCCTTTTAATACTGTAGACTTTAGTTTTTTAAAAATTTTCAGTGTTCAGGGCACCTGGGTGGCTCAGTGGATTAAGCCTCTGCCTTCGGCTCAGGTCATGATCTCAGGGTCCTGGGATCGAGCCCTGCATCGGGCTCTCTGCTCAGCAGGGAGCCTGCTTCCCTCTCTCTCTGCCTACTTGTGACCTCTCTCTCTGTCAAATAAATAAAATATTTAGAAAAAAAATTTTTTTTTCAGTGTTCAGCTTCACACTTATATCAGGTGATCTGTATGGTATGTAAATTATATCTTGGTAAAGTTCTTAATAACAAAAATATATGAGTTTCTTATAGTTATGCTTTTTATCTGGTCAAAGTGGTAAGTGTGGTTCTTGTTCCAAAGGCCAAGTTATTGAAGTAAGCCTGCAGGACAAGCAGATGTTTCTTGTAGTAAATATTAAAACAGTCCATCTCTTTTGCATGCTCTTGAATCACTTTTTACATGTCCTTTTTTATGAAGGTATTGTAAATAGACGGTAATATAACTGATTTGTAAGTTACTAACTTCTCAAATATTTGTAGGTTGAAACAAATGCTAAATGAACTTATGCGCCAACAAAATCAGCACCCAGAAAAACCTGGAAGCAAGGAAAGAGGCAGCAGTGCATCACACCCTTCTTCTCCCAGTTTATTTTGTCCTTTCAGCTTTCCACCACAGCCTGTAAATCTGTTTAACCTACCCGGATTTACTAATATTTCATCATTTACACCAGGTAAGTGACTACAAACTTAAGAGGAAATAAATAAATGCAAAGTGCTTGACAATATTCTTTGTCTATTGCATGGAGTTTAATTGGTCTCTTCTGGAATGGTAGGAGGTGTATGCAAAGAAAGTTACGAACTTTTCTACATTGATTCTTTGTGGTGAAAACTTAAGCTTGCAATGGTTGCTAATGAAATCAAATCAACTACTTATGAGAGGTTGCTTAGTCTTATACCTTTGAATTAATTTAACACCTATTTATAAAGGAAAAAGGGTATTAACCTATCTTGTGGCTGCTGCACATCGGGCACTATGTGGTTAGGGAGGATACGTTATAGACTAAGGTTTAGCTTAGGCTTAAATTTAATTTTATTTAGCTTTGGCTTTTATTTTTTCTGCACCTGTTATGTCTCAGATACCATATAAATGACTGTGATTCAGATGAGTAAAATGAACACTTAAAGTCATTTAGAATCTAGTGAGGAAGCTAAGCATGTCAGTAGGTGCTCCGCGCAGTGCCATGGGGATGGTAGCAGTGGTACAAATGATGGGAGTTGCCTTTCCTTAGGGCAGGAAATTATCAGCAGGTCTCTCCCCCCCACTCCCTCCGGAAAGCACGTTATTTAAAGAATGAGCAAAATTTATTTCCAGGGATATTAGAGGAGAAAGGACTTCCTAATCAGTGGATCCGCTGAGAGTTACAAAGCAGTGAAAGAGTGTATCACATAGGGAATTTAGAGGTCATTAAGTATGGCTAGTGTTCAGGGCCTTAGCAGGGGAAGAGTAATTGATACAGCTGGAGAGCAGCAGAGACTTTCTGTGCAATTCAAAGGACCTTAGACTTTCTTTTGCCTTCCAGAGGGGTCACTGAAGGATTTTGAGCAGGGGGATAGCATGAGATTTCTGTTTTAGGAGTATCACATTAGTAATAGTGTTGCAGAGATTTGAGAGAGGAGCCAAGAGTATCCTATGGTGAATAGGAAACCGAAGGCTGTTTGTTGTAGTAATACCAGAGAAAGGACAGCTGGATCTAAGGCATTGGCAGGAGGGGTACAGAACTAGGAGTAAATCAAAAGACTTTCTAAAGGTAGAATAAATTAAGTGATCAGTTAGATGAGGTGAGTCATGAAGGAAGTGGAATTGAAGGTGTTTGCCAGGGAATATAGGAGGAGAAAAAGGGTTGGAAGGGCTGGAGGGCTTTGTGAATATAAATCAATAAAAATAGCAGTGTATTTTCTTAGCAGGATTATAAAAATAATAGCATCAGCACATTTAACAAGCGTTTTAGTTCTTGAGCACCGATGAATATCGGCAGCAAACATTTTTTGCGTGGCTTTCTAGGTAACAGATAATATTAAAAATAGGCAGTTCCTTTACACTAATATGCCTCATGCCTGTGGCAGCCCTGGGCAGACTATTCATTCTTCACAAACTAATATTGTGAAGCCTTTTCTCACCCCTTTTCCCCCACCAAGTTGTTAGTCGCCCCTTGCAAGTATATCTCATACGGCACTGTGTGGTAAGAACTTAGTTCTATTCTAGTTTTCCAGTTAAAGTAGAGTGGAAAGAATATAAGCTTTGGAGTTGTGCAGACCTGAGATCTGACCTCCTCTTACATTTACTAGCTGTTTAATCTTTGAGCCGGTTTTCTTCCTGGTAAAATTAATTTAATACCTATGTCATAGTGTTGTTTGAGCATTAGACGAAATAACATGTAAATAAATAATCCTCATCCCTTCAGAGCTAAAAGGTTAGAAGTAATAGTATTTGACATTCATTAGCTTACCGGGTACCAGACGCTTTTAGGCATTTACCTGTTACTTTGTTCAGTCATCACTGCCAAAAAGCTAGTGGGCTGAACTGTAAACAGTGATTGAACAAATGAATATTAGTTTAACAGTTACTTGTTTTGGTGGATTTGAGTGACACATTTAATTAAAACTTTTAATTTTGTATTAAGGCCTTTAGGTACTTCTTTTATTGTTGTCTTACCTATTTCTTTTATTTATTAGGTATGAATTTCAGCCCTTTATTTCCTTCTAATTTTGGAGATTTTTCTCAGAATATTTCTACACCCACTGAACAGCAGCAACCATTAGCCCAGAACTCTTCAGGGAAAACAGAATATATGGCTTTTCCAAAACCTTTTGAAAGCAGTTCTTCTGTTGGAGCAGAAAAACAAAGGTACTTGATTGTGAACCTAATCCATTATTTTCTTAAATGTTACTTATATGATTATATCTATTTATATTTAATTCGCAAACACAGTGAGGAAGGATGCTTGTTATTGTTTGGCTTGTTAGTATTGAGAATATTCAACTGCTACTTTACCAGGTGTCTCAGGCATACATCTGCCAGTAATCCTGATAACAGGAATAATTCATTGTTTTGATCAGAGTGAAGGATAAGACTTGACCCATAAAATGTCTCTTGCCTTGATTTGATATCTGTCCTTAAGTTCACTTTAGGGCTAGAAACTAATATTAACTACTAGATGATACTTGTAAAGTGATGGCTCCTTGATTCATGGCTCCTCATTAGAATACGTTCTTAAGGCCTATCTAAATGTAATGTGGAGCACTATTACATTATTGATAGATGCTATCAGTCATAGTCAGGATTTCTTTCTCTGTTTCTCATTGTTAACATATTTTTTTCCTCAGTGTTATTATTTTTTAATATGATAGTCTTCCCACATAAAATTTTTGACTCAGATAGTGTAAAAGACTAGTTGGTTGAGTCAGGTCAATCATTCTATATATTTATAGCTAAATAAATAACATTCTTAATGATTGTGCTAATCCAGAAAATGATTTTGATAGCCAGCTGGTAAAACTATAGTTTTTTTATTGTTAGTCGTACTTACTTCAGAAAAAAACTTTTTAGGATGAAAAATTAGAGGTCAGTTCAGCCTATACTTCTATAAGAAGTATCTCTTTGATTTTGTCTTTGCAGACCTTTACAAATATAAAATTCACATCACTTTTCTCTTTAGTTGTATGATTGGGCATGTCTTCGAGCACTTAAGTAATCATTTTGGCACTATTTAATTATTAAATCATGGATTTTTTTTTTTTAAACCTAATTAAACAAAACCTCTTAGAATTCAACTGTATTTGACTCTAGGAATCCTATGGTTGACCTCCCTGACTTTTTCTTAGATCTACTAACCACTTCTTTCAATTAAACATCCTATTGCTCTTTAAAAGTACTCCATTGTCAGAGCCTAATGGTGTTTAGGGCACAGTTGCCATTCAGAAATGATGGTTGAATGATTTCCATCATAAGCAGTAAACATTTGTTCAACGCTTTAGTGAATAGCTTTGCTATTGGAAGGTCCCTACTTTATTATTATCCACATTTTATATATAATTAATAGTAAAAAAGGGTGGATTTGGATACATAATATTATTTGAGATATTTGACCTACTTCAGATTAGACCTCATTTCCCCAAAATGTCAACTGTTAAATAGGTATCTTCCCTGACTTTAATGGCTAGAGGTAACAAGAGGTCAGATGAAACATTGTAGTGAGCTGGGGTCAGAAAACTTATATTGGAAAGGGCTTGATGATAAATATTGCATACCATTTATTTCTGCCATTTTTGCATGAAAGCAGCCATAAACAATATGTGAACAAGCAGCTGTGTTCCAATAACACTTTATCTATGGGTACTGAAATGTGAATTTTACATAATTTCTGTCACAAACAATTTTTCTTCCTTTGACTTTTTTCAACCATGTAAGAATATAAGAATATTTTATTTTACTTTTTGTAAGAATCATTTTAGGGGCACCTGGGCCGCTCAGTCAACTGAGTGTCCCAACTCTTGATTTCGGCTTGGGTCATGATCTCGTGGGTGGAACCAGGCAAGCCTCAGGTTGGGCTTTGTGCTAAATCTGCTTGAGATTCTTTCTCTCTCTCTCCCTCTGCCCTCCCCCTTCTCCTAAAATAAATTAAAATATTTTTTTTTTTTTCCTTTCAAAAGAAAGAATCATTTTAGCTTTCAGGCCATACAGAAATAGCTAGCAGGCTGAATTTGGCCTGCAGACTATAGGTTTGCTAATCTTGTGTTAATTTGAAACCTGGAGGTCAGTGTCTCCTAAATCATGTTCTTCAAAACACTATTGTTCATGTCAGGTTCTGTGATAAAAATTTTGGACATTTTGCTCACTATGTTCACTTCTAAGACATTTGTATAGGACATTGGCATGTTTAAAGTTTTGAGTAACCTTGCAGACATGTTTAACTTTGTCTCGTTTGCCAAATTTAGATGGTTAGTAAATACCTGTTAACATATTAAATGATGTCAGTGTTTAGCAGTTAAAATTTGGAAAATGACACCAGACCGATAGAACTAAACTGTGCTTAATGAATGGAGGAATGAATTATGAGTTGCATGGACAATTGTTTTCACCAATTCCAGTTCTATTTTGAACTGCTTTTGGTGACACAGATTTGTGTATATTGCCAAACCCTCTACTACATACAACTCTTTCTCAGCTCTTCCTCCAAGTGTTTTGTTTTTTTCTTGTATATTCCATTTTTTTTTACAATTTTTCTTTCCCACTCTTTTTCATCATGAGTGCTAGATCTTTTGTCTGCAGCTTCTGCCAGTGAAAATGGTTTAGTGAGAAGGGTCTGATACTAAAGTTTAAAGGGGCCACTGGGTCACTAAGTTAAGCATCCAACTCTTGATTTTAGCTCGGGTCATGTCTTAGTGTTGTGAGATCCAGCCCCGTTTTGGGCTCCACGGTGGGTGTGGAACCTGCTTTAAGATTCTCTCTGGGGTGTCTGGGTAGCTCAGTCAGTTAAGCGTCAGACTTCAGGTCATGATCTCAGGGTCCTGAGATTGATTCCTCTGTTGGGCTCCACGCTCAGTGGGGAGCGTGCTTGTCCCTTTGTCCTTTCCCCTGTTTGTACTCTGTTTCTCTCTCTCAAATAAATAAAATCTTAAAAAAAAAAAAAAAGATTCTCCCTCTCAAGAAAATATTTAAAGTATTTAAGGACATTAACCTGTATAATAATTACATATTTAATGTATATTTCTATAAAAATGTTTTTAGAGCCTGTTGATGTTTTTATTTGCCTAAATCTATTTACTATATCTGCACTTTTCCAATAAACATAGAACTCTGTCATCATATCTGTAAAAATTTATTTTCATTGGTAAGGAATCAAAAACAGCCTGAAGAGGAGGTGGAAAACAGTAGGACACCATGGTTATATGACCAAGAAGGTGATGTAGAAAAACCATTTATCAAAACTGGATTTCCAGTGTCTGTAGAGAAAACTACAAATAGTAATCGCAAAAATCAATTAGACACCAGCCGGAGAAGACGCCAGTTTGATGAAGAGTCATTAGAAAGCTTTAGCAGTATGCCTGACCCAGTGGATCCAACAACAGTAACCAAAACATTCAAGACAAGGAAAGCATCTGCACAGGCCAGCCTGGCATCTAAAGATAAAACTCCTAAATCAAAGAGTAAGAAAAGGCATTCTACTCAGCTGAAAAGCAGAGTTAAAAATATTGGTAAGTGTCAAAATTTGTTGAATATTGATCGGTGTAAATGTTGATAACTATTCTGGCATGTTGACATACTTCATTTCATTGTGGCTAAATGGATAAGCACTGTTCTAGGTCTAGTTGAATAAAGTTATTTTTAGTCACCTTCATAAGTTTTTATATAAAATTTATCAAATAGGGTTTAATGTTGTAGATATTCTTATATTTCCTGTGTGTGTGGTTACTATAAGCTTAGAAGATGTTTTGTAAATCTTGTAGGTTACTAAAGGTTGCCAAAGGGCTGAATTTTTACTGTTGTTCATTCTTTTTACATTCTATTTTACATTCTTTTTACATCTTATCCTACATCCAACATTTTGTTATGATTTCTGGTGAAACCACTTTTAAAACAAGTTTGCTCTTAGTCCTTAAGGAAGTTAAATTAATAAGGTGAAACATTAACCCTTGTTTTATTGAATCTTGTCATTGGATAGCCTATCAAAGTTCTTTTAATAGTGTTAACTGCATGCCATTTAAAAAAAATAGGTTTTTTGAATTTTGAAGGATTTATTCAAGTCTAGTGCTAGGTAGAAATAGTTTTATTAACTAGAATCTGGAATATTAGAGTTAAAGGATCCTCCTTTAAGTTTGCTAGGGATGCTTTTCAGCTTTTTGATAGGTTGTTCTGGGTTCAAGGAGATTGTATTTAGTGCTTAAGGACAAAGTATTTAAGACTTACAATCAGAAAAGTTTGAAAAGTCACCACATACAGCTCACTCTCTTGGAAGCTCCCAATATATGCAAGGATTATGAGGTCCTAGGAAACCCTATGGTAAAAAATCCACTTGTAAACATTTGCAGCCTTCATATTAGCCATTTTTGGTTAGTGAGACATTTGAATAATCTGATGAAAACTGGATGTAAGAAAGACTACTATAATTCAGCTTTTTTGCTTCAAGGCAAAGACTGATGTTCTGATCTATGTGCTCTCTTCCATTACAAGTATAAAAATACCTGCCAGAAACATAATATACACATTTGTTCGACAGGCATTCAAGATGATCTGTCAGTGAAAGCCCTACTTTAAGACACACACAAAAATCAAAGACTTGATAGCAGAATCTAACTAATATATGCAGAGTCAAGCTAATATGTAGCAAAATCAAATCAGTCAGCTAAACCCTTGCTATCCAAAGTGGGAACTATGGACAAGTAGCATCCGTATCTGTCTGGGAGCTTATTAAAAATGCACTCTTGGGTCCCACCTTATACCAACTGAATCAATACACATTGCTTTTCAGTGTGCATTTTAGCAAGATTCTAGATGTTTTCAATATGAAAATGTGCCCATTAAAGTCTGAGGGGCACTAATCTAGACCACTGCTATTTTATGGGAGAAGAATAGCCATGATTTCTTAGAAAATAGGATATTTACTAGTCTTTAATATAGGTAGATGTAAAGAATATTGGAAGGCATTCTAAACTGTAGTAACAATGAAAAAAAGTTTAGAGGCGGGAAAAGAAGATGAGAGCAGTTGGGGAAGGCAATAGGATATGAGAAATAGACCAGTGTGGTGAGACTTGAGTTGCTCTCTTGAGAGAGGCAGCACAGCCAGTTATGCTGTACCAGATCTACTAGATTGAACTGTTTATGTATGTTTTTGCACTTGGGTACAGTTTTCAGAGGTAGCATGCTAAATCTTCATTGAACTTTGTTTCTACTAATGGTAATGTATATTAATGTTTAGAAGGTCTTTATATGTAAAGTTACATATCACTGAATGTGAAGTAAGGTTTTACAAATTACGTGATAGTGATACTCATCTTTTAAACTTAAATTCCAATTCAGACTTTCTGAGTTGAGCATGTTTTCTTGCCTTTCTGTGTGCTTCAGGTATCAGACCTGTAATTTGGCTACATGCTACCAGGTCCCATTTCCTTTTTTGATGCTATCAGAGAGCAGTGGGATCATATAATCTAGATCTTCATTCTTTTCTTTGAAAATTGGATAGAACTGTTAATATACTGCAACCGTCCCTGAGTCTTTTCTCTTCCCTTTCCTTTGTTTATGAATGAAGATTGAGATGAAATGGATGCCAATTGTTAGGAAGGGCAAGGCCTGACAGATGTGGCCAAGAAAGAAACAATCCTTTTTAGATTCAGAGAGCTGATTGTTTACATAGGCAGAGAAAGTGAGGGTAGCTGGAAGTCCCCACTCCCTGTGTTCTTTGTCCTGCGGGCCACAGGGGAAGACTGAAACTGAAGAGGCCAGGTGACCATTACAACCTGAGTGGTGGGACCCCTGTTGTTGAGGAGCCAGTGTTGTGCTGCAGCTACGACTCACCACTCTTTAGTCTGGAGGTGTGTCCTCAGAGTGTGAGAAAGAAAGGTCTCCTCTTTCCTCAGAAATGAGGAGGAGATGAGAACCTCTTCATGACAGATTTACAGACGGCCAAGTAGCAGTTCCTCACAAGCCTCCTGTGTTCTTGTGTTCTGTGCTCCAGGAGGATCATCAGGCCTTCTGTTAAGACTTAGGCTCAGCTGCAGTTCAGTCTTTACCTTTGTGGCCTGTGTGGATATGTGTAAGGTCTCTAGGATGCCACCAGAGGACATGGCTGAGCTGTGTCCCTAAAGTGGAGACACAACTGTGTCTGACTGTCTCGCCACTGGTGCTGAAAAAAACAGATTGTGTGCAAGGTACAGAGTGACGAATGGGATAGGAGGTCACACCTTTCCGCTAATGACCGTTACATGGTGGTGGTGGTGGTAGACTAGCTGGCCTAGCCAGTGTAACTCTGAGGTATCATTAACCTTCATTAATTCCTATTCATCTATTACTTTTGGCAGTTGTGTACCCTTATTGCTGAACCTGTTTATGGTAAGGTCAAAAGTAACCCAAGAGGGCTCCTTTTCCAGTAAGTTTCATGCAGAATGGATCAGAGCAGCTAGACTTTAGTCTGAGAGACCAAAAAAGAAATCAGGAACCCAAATATGAGATGATAAAGTCCTAACTTGAATGACGTCCTTCAAAATAAAAAGGGAAGGTTAACTCCAGATTGGATATGACAGAGAATAAACTGACAGTATATTGGGAACTTACTTGTTATTTGCAGAGCAGCTGTTGTGGTCTGGAGACTGTAATGGCAAGGCTTTAGATTCTGTTGGCTCATTCAGTGAATGTCTGGGGCAAAGATCAGAGCTCTACTGTTCCCGGAGAAAACTTGGTTGGTGGGCCAACATCCAGGCCCCTCTTATTCTTGACACCTCCCTTCCTTCCAAGAATAGCAGGCTTTTGTCACTTCAAGGTACTAATGGGAAAGTACAAGTAGGTGGCATTCCCCCTACCTTGCATCTGGGAGAGCATTTGCCTTTGCAGCCGAGGAGACTAAATAGAGAAGCTTCTTCTTACTCTCTCGATGTCTGACAACTTGCTAGCAAAAACACTGCTTTACCATAGGAGTCAGACTTCCAAGAGTACTGTCAGCATGCCAGCGCAGCTATCCGGCAGTTGGGTCCAGCCTTAAGGGCAGATATGAGTCCTGACTAGCCCAGTGAATGTAAAAATGCATGTAAAAGGGACCAGTAGCCAGAGAGAAGACAGAAGCAGAACACTAGAACAGGTAAAAGCAGTTATTGAAGGATATACACACTTGAACAAAATCATAAAAAACACTTAGGCAGATTGAGTTGTAACAAATTCCGTAGAACTAGAAAAAATGATTTTCACATTTAATGTTTAGACTGTTCAAAAAAGAGGATGGTATTAAGTCCCAAATTACTGGCCTAGCAAATTGAGGGGAAGAATTAACACCATTTGTACAGAGCAGAAAATACTAAGATAAGATCAAGAGGAAAATGATTAGAGGCTCGATGACAAATCTTGGAGATATGATATATAGGGAATACTAAAGGAGGAAAAAAAACAGGTGGAAAGGCACTAATTAAATAAGTAATAATAAAGGGGAATCTTTAATGAAGAAAGACTGAAGACTGCAGATCAAAACACCTAACTGTTGTCCAGCCAGGAGGCAAGGGGTAAAAGATACACATACCTCTATGTATATTCTGACAAAATTGCTTAATTCCAAGGAAAAAGTAAAAATCTAGTAAGCTTCCAGACTGCAAGAACAAATTTCATACAATGAGAAAGAACCAAACTGACATTAGACAACAGAAGAAATAGAAGAAAGTGAAATAATGTCCAAAAAAAGTACTGCAACTCAAGAATCCTATATTCAAACTAGAGCCTTCACTTGTCACAGTGAAAAGATCTTACCTGAGGAAAACAACAGAAACAACATATGAATCAAGATTAGACACCTTTATAGGGAAAGGTGAAAAGGGGAGATAACAGTTCAGTAAAGAAAACAGTAGATCAGGGAGACAAACCATGAGAGACTCTTCATCTCACAAAACAAACTGAGGGTTGCCAGGGGGAGGGAGGTAAGGAGAGGGTGGTGGGGTTATGGACATTGGGGAAGTTATGTGCTATGAAGTGTGTAAACCTGGCGATTCACAGACCTGTACCCCTGGGGCTAATAATACATTATATAGTAATAAAAAGTAAAAAATTATATTTAAAAAAAAAAAGAATTAACTTTCGTAGGGTGCCTGGGTGGCTCAGTTGTTAAGCATCTGGCTTCGGCTCAGGTCACCATCCCAGGGTTTTGGGATCAAGCCCCACATCGGGCTCCTTGCTCAGCGGGAGGCCTGCTTCTCCCTCTCCTACTCTCCCGCTTGTGCTCCTTCTCTCACGGTCTATCAAATAAATAAATAACTAAAAAAAAACCAAGCAAACAGTAGATCAATCTCAGTTACTAATATAAATTCAAAAGTAAAATATTAGCCAATTTAATCTCCCAGTATATCAAAAAGAGTATCAGACTGTTGTCAATAGGGTTTATTACAGAAATGTAACCATGGTTCATTATCAGGAAATCTGTCAACATAATTTTCATGTCAAGAAATTGGAGGACAGAAGTCATATAATCATAGCGGTAGATGAGATAAAATTTGAAGTCAGTTCTAACAAAAATCACAAGTAAAATGCATCTAAGTAGACAGTTACTTAATAATTAAAATAATGAAAACTATTAGCTAATGCCAGTCACAAATGACATTGTAAATGAAAATACTCCAAATATAATCTACATCAAAATTAGAAATTAATCCCTCTCTACCACCATTGTTATCTAACATTGTTTGGAAAATATTATGACAAGAAATTAAATAATTGGCATAAATATTGAAAAAGGAGGAAAACAAATTTTTACTTTTTCTGAGAGAGCCCAAAAAACACTGGAAAATAGCTACTAAAGTTAACAAAGTAAATTAGTAAAGCAGCTGGTTATGAAATAAGTATGCAAATATTTTTCTCTATCCTAGTAACAGTAGAATGGAAGTGGGGGGAAATAGTCTTCCCATAGTAGTATCCGAAGCTATTGTGTGGGAAATTCTTAGGAGTAAATTTAACAAGGAAAGTACTAGATCTATAAAAAATTATAAACATTTTTGAAGAATACAAAGCAAGATTGAACAAGTATGAAAAACAAAACTGTGTTCTTAAAAATTGTGTAAAATTATTAAATACCAGTTCTCCTTGAGTTAGTAAGTGCTTTTAATGTGATTCTGTTTTGAATCCCTGTGGACTCTTTTTGAAATTGGGAAAAAAAAATCTCAAAGCTTATAGGGAAGGACAAATGTCTAAGAATAGCCAAGAAAAGAAACTACCTGCATAGGACTTGCCTTACCAGGTGTTTAAGCATTCTGTAAAACTTCTTTCACTAAAAGAATGAAGATGGCATTGGAATAGATAAATTAAACAGCTAGAATGCCCAGAAATAAACCTCAATAAATACGGAGACTGAATATATTGACCAAGGCTGCATTTTATTTCATTGGGAATAGGGTAGGTATAACCAGGTATCCATGTGAAACAAAATAAAGTTGAGTTCCAAACTTGTGCCATATAGCAAGGAAAATTTAGACTAATACATATATATATATATCTATAGATATATCTATAGATATATATATATATAAAACCTATGAGTGGGTAAGACCTTTTAAATCAAGTCATATTGCATACAGGTTATAAGAAGGCAGACATACCTGATTAATGCCCATTACTCTTCTGTTATGGACGTTTTATGTAGATTGGATGTGATTCTTTCTTGTATTTCCTAATACTGAAAAATGGTTAACTTGGAGACTAGTAGAGAATTTGGATCATATAAGGTCTACAGTATAGTTTGAGTTGGGATGTACTCATGAAGGTGGTTTCAAAGGATGATGAATTGTTAGAATATTTTAACTGTTACCCCATCCTTCCAGAGGTTGTCATAAGACATTGTATTTACTGTTTTCTATTTATACAGCATTCTAAATTGAGTACCTGTGCTATTTCACTATGGGAATCAATTTCCCTTTCAGTTTGAGTTAGTTGCAACTGATAACAGTTGTCACTTTTTTTACTCAAGGGTATGAAAGTGCCAGTATGTCTAGCACATGTGAACCTTGCAAAAGTAGGAACAGACAGTCAGCCCAGACTGAAGAGCCTGTTCAAGCAAAAGTATTCAGCAGAAAGAATCATGAGCAGCTGGAAAAAATAATAAAATGTAGTAGGTCTACAGAAATATCTTCAGGTATGTTCTTTTTTGGTTTGCTTTGATCTAAGGACTTCATCTTAGATTTGAAAAGCAATTGGTCTGTCACACTTTTCTGTCATGTGCAAGGTTATATGTACTAGAAGATTATAGTATACATTCCTTGATATCAAGAAATGTAAACTAGAAATATTTTTTAGTATTCTAATAGTAGTTTTTGACACTTCATGATGAAATTTTAAGGAAAAAAGTATAGTTGACATTAATTTGGAGCTGATTTGAAATTTTAAAAATCTTCTCTGAATAAGAATTTGATATAAAATCATTCCCTGTTTAAAATCTTTGGCTTTACCGTGCTTACAGGGTAGAATCCAAGTGCTTTAATGCAGCATCTGGCCAGCAGAGTTTGGCTCCTTTTTGCATCTCTAGACTCTCTCCCCACCCTCTCTGCCTTGAACTTGCCTCTTTCGTGGCACTGTACTAAAGTTTTCCTCTAGCTGTCTTGCTGTTTCGCACCTCATCAGGTGTCTTTTCTGTCTTTTGCTCTTTGTAAACCTTTTTCTCTATTGGAGTCTTAAATAAACTATTAATTCTGCAACTCTGAATTTGCATCAAATCGAAGCTCAGAGAATTTTCCCTTTCTCCTTTTTCGTTTCTTTTGTAGCCAGTGTGAATCTCTTCTGTTGCCCATATCACAGTTACATAGTATTTACTCAAGTGTCTTCATCACCTTTTTTGAATTCCTTTGCAGCAGGTGATGCCTTGAATGTTGCCATGGTACTGGACACATGGTAGGCACTTACTAGGTGTTAATCCAGTGAATGAACAGAGTTACATTTTGCCGCTGTTTTAAGTACTGGTACTTTCCTGATATATAAAGAACAAGTACATCACAAAAAACCATGGAGAGGGAGGCAGTAAATAGAAACCCTCAGTTGTCAGGTGTCAGTAAGATCCTTGGTGAAAAGTGAGAGTAGCAGCTACCATTTGCATTATGCTTTACTATTTACAAATTAAATTATTCGTCTCATTTGAGAATTGGTTTTACTTCCATTTTGCAGATGAGGAAACATGATCAGAGAATATCCCTGTTTTTTTTCCCAGCATCATAAAGAGCTAGTGACAGAAACTGGTAGTTTTTCTGGAAAGCCTCAAACCTCACGGCCTTATCCCCATAATTGTACTTATCTATGCTAAGGAAACAAAAATAGAAAAAAATACTGGGATTTAGTGTTGTCTGAACTATGATTCCAACTATGTTTAAACAAAAAATCAGAATGAATAAAGACTAGAAGAAAATGCATCAAAATGTTAATAGTGATTTTATCATCTTTAGACTTCTGTATTTTCTAAAGCTTTCATAACGAATATTTATTGCTTTTGTAATCAGAAACAGCACATTTGTTTGTATTTTGAACTGACTTCCTCAAGGTCATATTGCTAAAAAATGGCAGGGTGGAAGTTTTAATTCTGGCTTTTTCGTAAGTCTAGATAATTTTGGCAAAACTATCAATTTTCCTGATGCGACCCTAGCGTTTTACCAAAATTTTACAATTTTATCTCCTTTTACTGTCTTTATCAAATAGTGAGATCTTCAAGGAGTAAATAGTTGGTGGAGGTTGGGGAAGGGGGCACTAAATTGAAAGGCTTATTAATTGGATTATTGAGTTACCTAAATAATGGATAGTCGGTTATAGGACTGAAGACCTTATTACTGTTACTTAGAAAAAATACAATGATTGAATTTTGGTGTGCTAAAAAATGCCTAAATTGTGTAAATATACCCTTTGTGTGTTTACATATTCGCTTCCTAAAAAGACTTAGTTTTAATCATTACTCTAAAATCGTTTATAGCATGGAGTAGTAGTTTTTGTTACATGACTACCAGAGAGTAGCATATATGACTGCTAGTATTGAATTGTACGGTGCTCTCCTTCCTCAGGAGTGTGGGAGGTTCACCTTGATGTGTTTGCTTCTAAGAGTGAATGGCAGAAGTTTATTATGACAGCCATCAGTCACATTAAGTTTGTATACGTTTATAGCAAATCTTTTGATATTTTCCCTAATAAGATTATTTTTTAAACAAATTATAAACCATAGCTTGTGATAACAGTTCAGTTCAGGCAAACAATTTTAAAGAAACTTGCTTTTTTTTTTTTTTTTTTTTTAAATTCACTTACTCATATTATGGACCCTGTCTTTACTATTCATACACATTTTATGTTCATCCTTATGTCTGCCCTTTCCTACAGCACATGCTAGGAGAATACTACAGCAGTCTAACAGAAATGCATGCAATGAAGCGCCAGGTAACAATCTGCTTAGTTTTGGTGTCCACTTTTTGTTAATTTTTTTCCATTAGTCTTAAATATCCTTAGTTTTATAGCTCTTATTATTATTTTTTTAAGATATAGCTTAGTGTATATATGTCATTTGGCTGTAAAAGAGAATTCATATTCATAAAATACTGAAGGCTTTCACTTGTAATTCTTTACTTGGGTGGTAAAATTAGCTGCTTTTCTTGTTTCATTTTCAGTTACTGTATGTAACATAACCAACACATTCATAAGGATAATAGAACATCTTTTTATAATTGATTGTTTTATTTGAAGTTACTTATTTTATAATTCTTAAATGCATAAAAGCATTAATTTTTTTTAAATAAAAAGTTACTTTTTCCTAGCTTTGATTTACAGTGTTAAGTATTGTAACTTCTGTTGTACTTGCTTATTTTTCATTACTAGTCAACATCTACAAAAAAAAATAAGTCAATAAACCATTAAATAAAATCAGTGACATGCAAAGACCATGATAAATAAAAATGCATGGAAAATTACAAAGATTCCAAAATACTGTTTTTGTCTGTACACTGTGCATTTAAACACGGTTATGTGAGTTTTAGAATTAGAGATGTTCTTTAACACCTCCTGCACTATATGTAAGTGAAAAACAGAAACTTGTTATGAATCTTTAGGAGAATGTAAAGAAAAAAATAAGGATCTAGCACAAAGTTTGAATTATATCTGTGACACTTCCTAAAGAAAAGAATTCTGAAAAATAGAGAGGATAAAAATAAGATGGATTCAGAGAAACCTGACTGAGATCAAGGATTTTTCTAGCCTACACTAATGGATTTTTGTTCAGGAGGAGAAACTGGCAAAAACTTTCCACCTGTCTATTGCAGGGCTGGGGGGAGGGTGGGCAGTAATAAGCGTGTGTTCAGCATCATTCATTATTCAGGGATAATTTAATCTTTAATGATACATAATTTGGAATGATAACTTAATCACATATAGAGGAATGGCAGATGTCATTAAGTATGCTTTGTTTGAAATAATAAACATTTTCTAATTTACCTTGTCAAACTATAGTATATAAACTGGAAGCTGTGTATTAAATCGTATATCTTCTCTGTGTTTTTCCTTTAAGTAGAGATTTCCTACAGAGATAGTTTCAGTTCCTGCTTATAATATCACATTTGAACATTTTAAAACTAGTAAGAGAACTTTACTATTTTATTTTATTTTATAGTCATAAATGAGGCAAGATAGGGAAATTGCATATTTGTTATTATATTATACTTGTAGAAATTATGGCCTGAAGACGTTAAGATGTAAGATGTAAGTAAGTAGGAAGTTTTTTCATTAGGCCTCATTTCCGTTACCCTCTCTTACAAAAAGTGAATTAAATCTTTATGATTTTTGTGTATTTATTTAAAAGCACAATATATTAACACTTTCAACATTTAAATTCTCTTTTTTAGAAACTTGTCACAGATATTTGTGGAACTTGAATATTTAACTACTCATGGTTCTATTATTACTCTAGAAAGGGTACAGAGTTTAATAGCTAGAAGAACTACTTGGAGAATTTAGTTATTTTTTTGAAGAATTTAGTTATTTTAGGGAGTGAGAGTGTGCGCACACGTGTAAGAGCGGGGTGGGGAAATGGGTAGGGGATGAGGGAGAGAGAAAATTTCAAGCAGATTCCACACTGAATGTGGAGCCTTATGGTGGGGCTCAATCTCATGACCCAAAGATCATGACCTGAGCCTAAATCAGGAGTCAGATGCTTAACTGATTGAGCTACCCAGGTGCCCCCGAGATTTTTTTTTAAATATAGAACTCAAAATGGGACAGTTTCTGATTTTCACTCTTAAGATAAAGGTATGACTGTATACCTCTAGGAGTGATAATTCTGTGTTATCAACAAATATATGTAGCGAATCGTTGAGTGATGCCTAGATTCTATGAAACTGAAAATGTGCATTGGGTCATGCCTGGTCCAGCTTCCGCTGAGTGTGGTAGTAAGACACTAGCAAAGTTGACCTTTATTGTGTTACATTCAAAAATTTTCCATCAATACAGCATGATAGCTGAGATTTGAAAATTAGTAGACCTAATTAGACCTTAAAATAGTAGCTTTTATTGCGAGCATTCAGTTTATTCTAAACATTAAATGAATTTCCTTTTCTGTAACAAAATCTTTTAGCAAAATAAATAAATAAATAAATAAAATTTGCAGTTTATTTCATTCAAGTTCTGAAAGATTTCTACTTATTATTCCTATGAAATGTGTAAAATTTTCCAGATAATTTTTTTGAGAAATAAATATGGTCTGAGTAATGTGATGATAGGTAATGTTATCCATGCATTTAAGTATTTCTCTAATATATAGTATATATCTTGGTATTTTTGAGATTATTTTTATCTTGGTAATTTTTAAGATTCTTTTGCTACTTAGAAAGTTCTAAAATAGAATTAAGTCTGTTTTGATTTTTAAGTAATTTAAACCTGAGTAATGAAACAAGCTAATAGAAATTGCCAGGAATGTATTTTATCATTGTTAACTTTAACCTGATCTTTTATATCTTCCAGAAACTGGGAGTGATTTTTCCATGTTCGAAGCTTTGCGGGATACTATTTATTCTGAAGTGGCTACATTAATTTCTCAAAATGAATCTCGTCCACATTTTCTAATTGAACTCTTCCATGAACTTCAGCTACTTAATACAGACTACTTGAGACAAAGGGCTTTATATGCATTGCAGGTATCTGGTATCTAACATTCTTTTTCCTACCCTATGTGGTACCGATTTTCTTCATGAGTATATCTGGTTGCTTTCTTAGACTGAAGTACATTCTGTTCCATATGTATTACCTGTTTTTCGTGTGCTTTCTTGGCATTTTATTTACAACTTCTTGTACAGCTTCAGTAGCCTTTGGATAAAGTCTTTCTCTGAGCAATTTTTTAGTGTTTTATCGTTAATGTTATTTCTTCCTCATAATATACTAGGTGAGGAGCATTCATTTGCTCTTCTGTCTGCTTGTTGTTTAAATTGGTGATAAAAAATAAATGTTTTACTTAAGTAATGTTCTTATTTTCTTATTTAGGACATAGTATCCAGACATATTTCTGAGAACCATGAAAAAGAAGGAGAAAATGTAAAATCAGTGAATTCTGGTACTTGGATAGCATCAAACTCAGAACTTACCCCCAGTGAAAGCCTTGCTACCACTGATGATGTAAGCTGATAATGATTAATGAACATAGCTATTACTTCAGTATGTAGTAAACAGAAGTTAAATAAGTAGTTATAAATTGTGAATTTACCTGATAGTTGGTTTTTAGCTTTCTTAAAAAGCTAAATGTAACACATTATTTTGAGGTGAGGTATAAAACTCCATTAAAACATGTCGGCAAACACTGGAAATTATGTATAAATGATAGATTATAAGGTGTAAAATAGCTTGTATTTATATTTCCAGTGTCCATCATAGGAATTGACTCACAACAGACATCTAGTAAAATTTGTTGTGTTTATTCAAGACATTCAGTAAACCAGACTGCAGGCAGATCACAGAGCCCTAAAATAAATAAATACATGATAAATCAGGTCTTTGGGTTAGAAGAGAAGCCTGGACAAAAAATTGTCCAGGGGAAAAAAAAATGTAACTTAATGTATTCAAGTTTAGAAAGAAAATTCTGAATAAAGTAAAGGAAAGTGGGGAATGGGAAAGAGTAGTGAGGAAAATGGTGCATTTTCAGTACTCTGTGTTCTCCAGATACCCCCACGTAGCACATAAGCCAGTGTACGACTGGATGGCAAACTGCTAGGGTAGTTAGGAGGTAATGTGCTAGGTATTTGGAATTCACTACTTAAAGGACCTGACTCAGAATCATTATAAAAGATATTCTGGGGTCCTCGGATAGTAAATACATCTCTTTTCTATGCCAACTCCAGTGGATTTTCTGTGCCAACTCCAGTGGAAACTCCGTGGATTTTCGTGGATAAGAGTGCCATAACTAATAAGCAGATATTTGCTCTGTGTAGAGAGTTGGAAGCAGTATTCCTGTGTTTCTGCCCATTGATGATATACTAGGATTTTAAGTTTTTTTGAAAAGATACTATTTCCTCAAATGATTTGTGTGGTTTTTTTTCCCCCACATACAGTAATTTCCTTAAAACTATTGAGGACTTTTCCTGAATTCTTGCTCTTTAACTTATGCTCAGATTTAAAATAGTACTTCCCCAAGTCATTTTTTCTGTTTAAAACCTTAGGCTCCAATTCCTCTACCACTCTGAACACAAGCTAAAAACGATATGGTTTTAATTCACTTTATAATGTCAAATATAAATTAATGTAAGTAATTATTTCTTGGGACTGTTACTATAACTAATTGAAAATTGCATACTCCTTTTTGTGGTCAATGACAAGAGTGGTCCAGCTATATAGATAAATAAGGGATATGCGGTTACATTAAAGTTTATTAGGCACTGAAATAACTTGCTGAGCACATCAGTGTTTTCTCTGCCTCCCGTAACTCCATTGCCTCCCTTTTAATCCAGATTTCATGTAGATGGTATTACTTCGTTAATTTAAAATTTTGAGCACATTGGCCTTTACCATCAATAGCAAGCTGAAAATTGGAAATTCAGCTATATGAGATACAGTTAACCTGACAGGATTTTTAAGTTTTTTCCTTGTAACTGCTGCAGACTTAAATAAAATTTAAAGATACTGACCTGCTTAATAAGTAGGTGTCTTAGTTGGGTTTGGTACTGTAGACTGGGTGGCTTAAACAACAGCCATTTTTTTCCTCATTGTTCTGGAGGTGGGAGAGTCCAAGATCATGGTGCCCGCAGATTTGGTACTTTGTTAAGGCCTTCTTCTTGGCTTGCACATGGCCATCTTCTTTGTGTGTCCTCACATGGCTCTGGTGTCTCTTTTTTTTTTTTTTTTAAAGATTTTATTTATTTATTTGATAGACAGAGATCAGAAGTAGGCAGAGAGGCAGGCAGAGAGAGAGAGAGGAAGGGAAGCAGGCTCGCTGCTGAGCAGAGAGCCTGATGCGGGGCTCGATCCCAGGACCCTGGGATCATGACCTGAGCCGAAGGCAGAGGCTTAACCCACTGAGCCACCCAGGCGCCCCTGGTGTCTCTTTTTTTAAAAGGGCATGAATGTAACCATGGGGCTCCACCCTCAGTACCTCATCTAAAACCTTGATTACCTCCCAGAGGCCCCACCTCCTAATACATTGGGAGTTAAGGCTTCAACACATGAATTTGGGTTGGGAGGGAACACAGAGATTCAATCCATAACCATGTAGACTTGACACAAATAACTCTACTTAGTATTATTATTATTATTTTTTTAAAGATTTTATTTTATTTATTTATTTGACAGAGATCACAAGCAGGCAGAGCAGCAGGCAGAGAGAAAGAGAAGGAAGCAGGCTCCCCGCTGAGCAGAGAGCCCGATGCGGGACTCGATCCCAGGACCCTGGGATCATGACCTGAGCTGAAGGCAGTGGCTTTAACCCACTGAGCCACCCAGGCGCCCCTACTTAGTATTATTTTTAAATAACTACATTAGTTCTTTAGTTTTTCATCTAAAACTTAAATTTGTCATTAATGTTAACATCCTCCCTTTATTGATGCTATTTAATCAGCAGCACAACATCCAGTGTTCCTACCCACAGATCTAGACCAGTGCTGTCCAGTAGAACTTGCTACAGTGATGGAAATGTTTTATATGTGCATTTTCTAATATGGTAGCCACTAGCCACATGGGGCTATCAAGCTCTTAAAATGTGGCTTAATGGGACTGAGGAACTAAATTTTAAGTTTTAATAAATAGCCACATGGAGGGGTGCCTGGGTGGCTCAGTGGGTTAAAGCCTCTGCCTTCGGCTCAGGTCATGATCCCAGGGTCCTGAGATTGAGCCCCGTACAGGGCTCTCTGCTTAGTGGGGAGCCTGCTTCCCCCCCGCCCCGCTGCCTGCCTCTGCCTACTTGTGATTTCTGTCAAATAAATAAATAAAATCTTTAATAAAAAAAAAATAACCACATGGCTAGTGGTTTCCATATTGGACAGATACAGATTCTGATTCTCCGTGTTTTCTAGGCCAAGGTCCTTTTTTTTTTTTTTTTTTTTAATATTTTTATTTATTTGAGAGAGAGCAAGAGAGATCAGAGAGGGAGGGGGAGAAACAGACTCCTCACTGAGTAGGCAGCCTGATGCAGGGCACTATCCCAGGACCCTGGATCATGACCTGAGCTGAAGGCAGGCACTTAACCAGCTGAGCCACCCAGGTGCCCCAGGCCAAGGTCATTTGAACTCCATTTATGGAGCTTGCATTGGCACAATTGAAAGTATGTAAGAGCCTTCATAGCCAAAGAGAGAGAAGTAAAAGTAGGCATCCAGGAATTGTAAGTCAAAGGGGGAATGAAAATTGAAATTTAGGAAGAGGAAGAAACACTTTGTATCTTCTATTCCATGTGCCATAAAATGGCAAAAGCACATCTACCTTCCAGTTTTAATTGAAGGAGCAACAAAATGGTTCCATTTCCAAAACATGTTCTGTAATGCCTGAATTTCCTTTAATCAGAGACATAGCTTTCATTTCATAATTGAAGAGAAATATTTAAAAGATTTCTAGCTAGGAAAGAACGTAATTGTGAAATGAGTTTTAGAATGTGAGATTCCCCTTGAAGCGCCTGGGTGGCTCAGTGGGTTGGGGTCTCTGCCTTCAGCTCAGGTCATGATCTCAGAGTCCTGGGATGGAGCCCCACATCGGGCTCTCTGCTCTCTCTCTCTTTCCCCCTCTCTCTCTGCCTGCCTCTCTGCCTCCTTGTGATCTGTCTGTCAGATAAATAAATAAAATCTTAAAAAAAAAAAAAAAGAATGTGAGATTCCCCTTTATCACACTATACAGAAAAATTATTTTGAAATTAAAGTACTGAAAAGGCTAAAACTTAAAAAATGTCTAAAAGAAAATCTCCATGATTTAACATAAGCAAAGATTTCTTAGGGTACACAAAGCTTTAACCATAAAAGAAAAAACTGATGAATTAAGACTTGATTTAAGAATAAAATCCTGCGGGGCGCCTGGGTGGCTCAGTGGGTTAAAGCCTCTGCCTTCGGCTCAGGTCATGATCTCAGGGTCCTGGGATCGAGCCCCGCATTGGGATCTCTGCTCAGCAGGGAGCCTGCTTCCTCCTCTCTCTCTCTGCCTGCCTCTCTTCCTCCTTGTGATCTCTCTCTCTCTGTCAAATAAATAAATAAAATCTTAAAAAAAAAAATAAAATCCTGCTTTTCAAAAGACACCATTAGGAGAACATAATATTAGTACACATGTCTGATAATGACTATATAAAAGACAAATTCATACTAACATAAAGAACTTTGACAATTTGCTTTTAAGATCAACAACTCAGTAAGATACGGGCAAGAGATTTGAACAGGCACTACATGAAAGAAGATCTGTAAATGGTGGCCAATGTGGACATTAAAACCACATGAGAAATTTCCTCACATATACTAGAAAGGCTGAAATTAAAAAGATTGATGATAAGTGTTGGTGTGAATGTAGAGTGATTGGAACTTTCACACTTCTTATGGGATTATAAAAGTATACAACCACTTTGGAAAGCAGTCTGGCCGTTTCTTAAAAAACGTTAAACTTGGCATGTGACCAAGGAATTTTTCTTCTAGGTATTCATCCAAGAGAAATGAAAACATATGTCCACAAAAAACCACTTGTATTCCAATGTTCATAGCATCTTTAGTCATGATAGCCTCAAACTGGAACATCAGCAGATAAATGGATAAACAAAATATGGTATATCCTTACAATGAAATACTATTCAGCCATTCAGAAATAATGAACTTCTGAAACATATGACAACATGGATTAATTTCAGAAACCCATTGAGCAAAAGAAAAGAAGCCATACACCGAAGAGTGTATTCTGAATGGTTCCATTTATATTTCAAGTTCTAGAGTCAGCAAAACCTGTTTGTGGCAATAGAAATATAATGAGTGGGGTGTAGTGGAGACTGACTACAGAGGGATACAAAGGATCCTTTGTATGGGCTTATGGAAATGGTCTTTATATTTAGGGAAGATGGTTACATGGATGTATGTATATATATACATACGTGTGTATATATATATATATATTTTATAACTCATCAAACTGTACACTTAATGGGTACACTGTTGTATGTAAATTTTATATTTCAATAAAGTTCATTTAAAAAATATGAATGATGCTGTCATGTTTTTCTTCTGATAAAACCAGATATAGTAAGTTCCTAGTAATTGTTAGGCTTTAGAGATGAGAAAATTTTCCTGAGGGTGTAGAATAATATAAAATGTTTACTTTTCCAAGTTACAATTTAATTAGTAGCTGTCCCTATGTATTTTTATCTAGTTAATGACATATGTTCTGCAAGTTTACTTAATGTTTTGATGTTCTCTGTGACTGTTCAACCTTTAATAACTTTGGTTATATCCCAATTTTAAGTATATAGTTTTATGCAAATACTTAGTTTCTATGTTAATTTTTAATATTCATCATAAAATTTTTAAAAGAAATATTAGTGATTTTTATTTGTTTTTTTAAACTGTAACCTAGGAAACTTTTGAGAAGAACTTTGAGAGAGAAACACATAAAATAAGTGAGCAAAATGATGCTGATAATGCTAGTGTCATGTCTGTATCTTCAAATTTTGAGCCTTTTGCAACAGATGATCTAGGTAAGCAGAATTTTTTATAATCTTAGAACGTGACTTTAATACAGTCTTTGAATTACATTAAGAAACAAAAGTCCAGGGGCGCCTGGGTGGCTCAGTGGGTTAAAGCCTCTGCCTTCGGCTCAGGTCATGATCCCAGGGTCCTGGGATCGAGCCCCGCAACGGGCTCTCTGCTTAGCAGGGAGCCTGCTTCCACCTCTCTCTCTCTCTGCCTGCCTCTCTGCCTACTTGTGATCTCTGTCTGTCAAATAAATAAATACAATCTTTAAAAGAAAAGAAAAGTCCAAAAAAGGCACGACGTGGAAAGACTCTGGACTTAACAGTTGTCTCTCAGTGTAAAGTCAAGAATCACCTGTTAACTCTTTAGCCTTCGGTAAATCATCTCATCATTCTGATTGCACGTTCTAAGAAAATGGGAGTCTTATTTAACTTGCTCTATGTTCTTTGAAAAATATATAGAATTTTCTAGCATGTATAATAGGAGCTGAAGAAATGTTGATTTCCTTTCTATAAGGGAAGGGTCATCCTTTAAGGATTTCTAGTTAATGGGAAAAATTCAGAGATATCAGAGCCCCATCAATCACATTTTCAGTAACAATATTCACTTAATTTGCAATAACTGAAAATTCTTAGCATAGATAATCTTTAATGAGAAACCCAGGTAACTCTGAATCTGCATGAAGCATTGCACTTTTTTTCATCATTAATAAAACAGAAGTTTGGAGAATTGTATAACTCAAAGGGAGGACGAAAACCCAAATTCCCAGACTTGGAAAGCAGAGTAAGGAAAAGAAAAATGTATAGGTACTGTATTCATTTTCCTGGTTGTAGCCTGTCAAGAGATACCCGAGATTCAGTCATTCAGATCTCCAGAGCACTTAGTTGATAAAATGATCTAAGTCCTATTATTCTAGTGTTTGTTCATATGATGAGAACAAGATTTAGATAATTCCAAAGCCCGCCTACAAAGAAAAGGGCTAAGCCTGGCCCTGTTACTAGATACACACTTTTTACCAAAGCAGTAAGTTTTCCTTTTGCCTTATCCTATTATGGACTCCAAGCCTAGCTCCCTTCCTTGTAAAATACTTGTCAAGTCTGAACTGATCTCACCCCATTTTAGAGAAAAATTTTCCTTTCACCTTTAGTTTATTCCCCCTTTCTTGAGCTACCAAATGGCTTAGAGTCCTCTCTGTTTCGTTTTATTTACTGATTGTTTCCTCAAAATCCTCCACTAACTTTGTCTGAAATGGACAAAGAAAAACTGAGAAATCTCTTTCTTGGCCTCTTTCTTACCTTATTTCCTTGTATTCAGTTGGATCCTTTTCATTAGAGTTTGGGTGACATCTTGGAATTTATTTTTACCTGAAGCAACATGATGACTAGTGCAATCAGTATGGACTTCACAGTCTGAGAGAGTAACGTAAGCCATCACCAAACTAGAGTCTGGAACTTGTTAAATCTCCTTTTCCTTACCTATAGTTAGACTTTTTTTTTTTTTTTTTTTTTTACTAATATGTTGTGAGGAATACATGATAAAGTTTGCTTTTATATATTCTCAAAATGTTTATTTCCTATGTAGGTAACACTGTGATTCACTTAGATCAGGCATTAGTCAGAATGAGGGAATATGAGCGTATGAAGATTGAGGCCGAAAGTAGCACAAACATGAGATGCACCTGCAGGATTCTTGAAAATGAGGATGGTGCTGCCGCCACAAGTACGGTTACTAACTCGGAAGGTGTGTTCTCCTGATGGGTAAAAGTACAGAAACTATAGTTCCATATGTAAAGAAAATGTGTAGCCCCATCTGATATTTAATAGTTTTATGACTGTTTTCTTTTTGTTATTAAGGGTGCTAAAACTACATAAATGCTCCATTGTATTGGTGTAAAATCATCGGATTTTAATATTTAAAATTCTCAATAAATGTGTATGTGTAATGTCACAAGCTTTATTTTGCTAACGAATCATTTTCCTTTTAAAAATGTATAGAAACTCCTATTGAAAATCATGGTTCACAACAACCTGTAAGTGAAGTTTCTACTGTCCCATGCCCTAGAATTGATACTCAGCAGCTGGACCGGCAAATTAAAGCCATTATGAAAGAAGTCATTCCTTTCTTGAAGGTAGGCAATAATTTCTTAAAATAAATACTTTATGTGTTTTGTTCTTTAATTCTTAAAAAAGATTGCATTGTAGTAAATTCAGAAAATGACAGGTAAACAAAAGAAAGGTAAAAACAATCAGTTTCATCAGATATTCTGTAAATTTATCTCCCGTTATTTGTAACGGATGTACTCACCTCCCAGAGAAGAATATTTCTATTTCTGAAAGTTGTAAGAATGTGATATGTTCGTGTAGATAGATGGGTAGATTTATTTGAGAGTTTGAAACCATTCCTTCAGGTGAGTTGACTTAAACTATGCAAGCGGTTACTTGCTTTCATCTTAGGCATAGGTAAGTGTTGCCTTTTTTGTTTCACATTTTTGTTTTATCATGAGTGATCCAATAAATACTTTAAAGGATGTCTTTTTTGATAAAATTAGGTATATGGCTAGCAATATTTATTTAATATGTATAATTACTTTCTAAGGTTTAAAAAATCTGATTTAGCTTTACGCTTAGAGAATACAGTCTTCTACAGTTAGGAAATTTTATTGCTTTTCCCATTTTGTGTCTAATTTAATTGATAGCCCCTCATAAATATTCACATACTAAACTTAGCATTTCAAAAAGTTTTTGAGGCCAGCAAAATGAGTAGAACTAATGATCTGATTTTAACTATTTTGTTATGTCTCATTTCACTTCAAATCTTGACTTTCTTGGTAGAGTTATAGAACTTCTTTATTAAAGTCAACATTATATCCAGTCACCTAAGCTGGACTTCTTGACTCTCATACCTTCTATCACCAGTGAGTCAAAAATTGATTTTCCCCTTAAGAGCAGTCACTTTTCTTTCCTTCTCTCCAGAGGCATAACCTTAATTCAGATCTTCATGTTTTGCCTAGACATCCTGTCATAATAGGCATGAAATGAATGCTGACTAAGCAGACTCCCCCCTCCTTCAAGAGATTTCACTGCTGGACCTGGTACATTTCCCTACCTTCATCTTTCCCCACTCTCCATCTGGTCCCCTCACTCACTCACTCACTTCAAGTTACTCAACATTTCCTGTTCCTGTCATTGCGTTTTCCTGTATCAGCCCTTTGTACAAGTTGTCATTACCAAAAATATAAAATTCCTTCACTCTTTTCTGCTTGGCAGAAATATCCTTTCTTCAGAGATAATTGTTGTTGTTTCTTATATACTACCATAGCTCCTTACAGACCTGGCGTGTGCTGCTTTTATGATATCTGTATATTCAGCAAGTAATGAGTGTCTCCTGTGAGCTGGCCACTGTGCTTAGGTGATAAATAAGAAACAGATCCTGGAGTTAAGAATTATCATCTGTTGGACAGTGCACAGCATGTAGTGATTGGTTATTCCTGTATCTGACTTTCTTCTCTGGTATTTGATCCCTTGAAGACAAGGGACGGTTGTCCTTTTTTTTTTTTTTTCCCCTAACTGCCTGCTCTGTTACATGATTTTTTTAAAAAAATGATCTTAATTCCTTCAATTTAAGAAACCTTAGAAATCATCTAGTTTAGCCACCTCACTTTACACATTTCTATAGGAAAAAAAACAAAACATGAACTCACCTGAATAAAGGTTGGAAAACCTGCCCAAATGAGTGTAGTGGCAGAAGAAGGATGAGAACCTTGAGGTACTTGATGTGGATGTTTTATGGACTCACCTTCAAAAGTGATCCAGGATTTGGATTATTAGGTAGTTTGCACGTGCTTCTGAAGGAAGATGAAGGAGAAGAGACTTGCCCAAAAAGGCTTGTTTGGAAAGTTAGGACAACTGGGGTTTGATTTTGACCCTACAAGCATCTTGCAATGTCTGCATACAGTTTTAGCTCTCAGGACATAGGAGAGTAGAGGGTGCTATTGGCATCTCGTGGGTAGAGGCCAGAGTGCTGCTGAAGCTCCTTTGCCATGCAGTCTCCGTAATGCCAAGCGAGGCTGAGAAAGCTCGGGTAGAAGATGAGGGAGGTGAGTTTTAAGAGTGTGGTTGAAATGAACTGAACTGCAAATGGGGAGACAGGCAATATGGAGACTAGGGCATAAATAGTTTTCCTTAAGATACAGGAAGAAAGGAATGAAAAGTATTGAATCAGCCCATTTCTTTTACTGGCTGTTACCTGCTATGGTGGGTCAAAATGTACAAACCCCTTAACATGTGTAGTGCAGGAGTTTGGCTCTTCTTATGAATAGATATTTCTAAACATATATCTGACAGTTGAGAAGCATCTATGCAAGAAAAAAAAGTATCATGTGAATTAATATTTCTTAAGCAATGGGTCCTAACCAACTAGGATTTTTCTCAGGAGCACATGGATGAAGTATGCTCTTCTCAACTTCTAACTTCAGTAAGACGTATGGTTTTGACTCTCACCCAGCAAAATGATGAGAGCAAAGAATTTGTAAAGTTCTTTCATAAACAACTGGGAAGTATATTACAGGTAAGAGTTTATACTTGTATGACAACAATATATATACCCTCCAGTTGGGATTATTTTTACTTTTTTGCCATTTTCTGGCAATATGCAATTTATTCAGATAAATGTCCATTCTGGTATCCACTGGGCATGACATTTCAGTACCTTTTTAGGTTATTCCTTTATGTGGTTTAAAAACAAAATTATATTATGGGACACCTGGGTGGCTCTGTTGGTTAAGTGTCTGCCTTCAGCTTAGGTCATGATCTCAAGGTCCTGGGATCCAGCCCCGCATCAGGTTCCCTTCTCAGTGAGGAGCCTGCTTCTTCTCACAGTCCCCCTGCTCACTCTGTCTCTCTCAAATAAATAAATAAAAGCTTAAAAAAAAAAAAAAAAAAGGTAGTAGGACTTGTGTCTTTCTTTGACTCAATCATCTAAGGCCTAGCCAAACTTGAATAAAATTTTGTTTTGATTTTCCTCCTATCCAGTAAGAACATTTCAGGGTCGTTGTTCAGGAAGTATTCTATGCTATTTTCTAAAATTTTTTTTCCAGTGTGGGAAATTTTAGAAACCAGAACCCACTTGTTGATTATAGAGACTTCTTAGGCTGTGATAGTAACTGTAATGTTAAGGTCGTGATTGGAAACTGGCGGCAGCTCTGCAGTGCCTGCGGACATTCGCCATACAGAAGCGGCTGGTACTGATATCTGGTGGCATGTTAGCAGTGCTAAGGTTGAGAATCCCCTTGTTAAGTAAGGATACCTTACTGCATAGAGTAAACATCTTTCCAGTTCAATACGCAGATAAGTTTTCCCATTGAGGTAGTTCAGTGATGTGTATAATTACTCCAAACTAGGAAATACGTTTTTCTTTTCAACTTTATTACAAAAATTTCCCATAAAACTATTCCTTACTTTCTGTGTATTTAAATTGGTTTTAAAGAAAGTATTATCACTGTATCAATAACTTTTAAAACACGAGGCTTAATGTAAATTTCCATCACTATAATTTTCCATTTTGTTTTATTAAGGCCAAAGTACAAATTCAGTAATAGGTTTTAAGTCATGATGGCTCTATTTAACCGAATTGTACTAACACATAATCTATAAGGAATATAAGGCATCTCTGTTGTTACACGGTTTAAAAATGTTTAGGGTAATTTTTAGATAAATATGTTTTTATAAATTTAAGTAGTTTATTCCTACAGAAATAAATAACTCCATTCCAGAATCAGGCTCAAAGAGAAATCCTTTATAATTAAATATTTTCGTTTATCAAGATCCATGCAGTCCTTCTTCAGTTTTGTCTGCTGTTACATGATTGAGACAGATGCCAACGTATTAATTTGGAAATAAGATTTTTTTCCTAAGAAAACCTGGCTGCTTTTCTTTTATCCCATACCTGATTTTTTTTTCACAAAGGGACCTAGAAAAGAATAAAGACTGATTTACAGTAAATCTTGCCCAGACTACTGAAAATTTTTCATGAGATAGAACTTAAAATCTACTTTTTTCTATGAAACCTATTCAGTGAGTTTTTGTTTTTCTTTTTGTTTTCTTACAAGGCAGCCACATTTATACTTCTCTACAATTTTGCTAGATGAGATGGTTTTTTGGAGGGAGGAGACACAGAATATAGTTTTTTGCCTGTTTTCTAAATGGCGTAGTCCTTATTTTTAGGAAGAAAAGGAAATGCAGTTTTATAAAAAATGTCCAGAATATAGCTGATTTACTCATTTGATGATGCTTTATTTCAACTTGAATAGAGCTAAAGTTTGCTTTTAAACTGATTCTGAAAAAGAAGTTTAAATTAGAATGACTGCCTGGCTTATATAAAACAGGGGAACTTGAAAAGTACTCTGATGTTAACATTGAGAAAGGGAGGACTTCGTATTTTCCTCTCTGGGCACCTCAGCTTCTTACTATGGTAAATATGTATCCCCTGGTTTACTCATTTGTGGCCACCAGTTCTATTAATTAGGGACTAAATCTATTGATGATTACATGTTCCGTTCTTTTCCTTTTGTATACTCTTTAGAGGAGACCAGCATGATTCCTACTTAGGTTAGTATCACTAAAGAATATTACCATGTTGGGCACCTGGGTGGCTCAGTCGGTTAAATGTCCAGCTCTTGGTTTCTGCTCAGGTCATGGTCTCAGGGTCCTGAGATCAAACCTCGTGTAGGGCTTGTTGCTCAGTGGGGAGTCTGCTTGAGATTCTCTCCTCCCTCTGCCCCTCCCCCTGCTCCTGCATGTCTGTCTGTCTCTCTAAATAAATAAGTAAATCTTAAAAAAAGTAATCTGTGTAGTAATCTCAGCCATTAATTTTAGCCTTTTCCATATTAAAAAGTAATAAAATTTTTTTTTCCCTAGGTGAGTATTGTAATTTAAACTTCTTAATCCTCTGTATTGCTCTACCCACAATTGAAATTTATTTTAATCTTAAAATTACTTGGTTTATCTTTGTAATAGGATTCACTGGCAAAATTTGCTGGCAGAAAACTGAAAGACTGTGGAGAAGATCTTCTTGTAGAGATATCTGAAGTGTTGTTTAATGAATTGGCTTTCTTTAAGCTGATGCAGGATTTGGATAATAATAGTGTAACTGTTAAACAGAGGTGCAAAAGGAAAATAGAAGCAGCTGGAGTAATACAGTCTTACGCCAAAGAGGTAAATGACATTCATTTTGGTTTTGGGAGTAGTTACAATTAGCATAAAAATACAGTTCTTGATCATTATTAACTAAAAGCGGACTTGACCTCAGCTAACATATTTTCTAAGTAAAAGCAGTTAATCAGATTATCTAAATCAGTACAGATGGTAGGCACATACTGGATCTCAGATGTGACCTCAGTGGCTAAAAGATGAGGAATGCAGACAGGAATTGGTGACAAGAGTTATCAGCTGTCTTACAAAATTGTCGCTCAAAGCTCCAAAGAAGAGAGGATTACTGGGATCCAGTTCTTGACCAGCTGTCTGTAGTAGCTATTCCAGCCCTGATAGAGCTCAGAGCTACCAGGGGTATCTGTCACCCCAACCAGCATTCATGCTTGTTTACAAGGTAGGACTTCGGCTGCATATCTCTGTAGCTTCTTATACCTCATTAAATTAGTTTGATCACATATGAAATTGGATGGGATTTTTCCCCTCAACTTGAGGGATACCAGAAGGTTTCTTCCTTAGACCTCTCCCTCCTCTTGACTCTATAATCACGAGAAGGAAAGCATGTCAGGCCCCAAAATGGAAAGAGGCAACCCTTCTCCCTGAAATCTAAAGTAGAAAAAGTCAAGCCACCTGTTTCACACTTTTCTTAGTGTTTTCACTCCAGACATAGGTAAGTTTCAGATCATTTCAGTCACTGCCAAGTGCTTGAAGAAAATAAAACAGGATAAAACCATAATAAATGCTTGGAAAGACTACTTCAAGATAGGCAGTCTCGTGAGGCTGTTTAAGTGGGTGAAGTATAAACTAGGGCAAGAAAGACAAGGAGTTTATAAAGAAGATGGAAGGACATTCCAGGCAGCGAGAACTATAAGTTCAAAGACCGAGGCTGGATTGAGCTATTTGGAGAACCTGTAGAAGGCCGGGGTAGCGGGAATACCTCACAGGAAGTGAGAGTGTAGATGAGGTTACCTAGGTGGGTAAAGCCAAATTATGTGACCTTAACAATGGCAGCTAAGGGTCTTCCGTTTGATTTTATTCTAAACATGTTGGAAACCCATGGGAAACTTTGAAATAGAGGAGGGACATAATCACATGTGCAATTTAAAAGACTGGTTTAGATATCATGTTGCATAGGAATTGTAGGAAGGAAGAGATAGAAGCAGAGACCAGTTGGAAGGCTGTTGCAGTAGTGCAGGTAGGGAGCGGTGTGACTAAGCTCTGAGTGCATACCAGCAGATCCATTTTGACAACTGAGTCAATGAGGCATTCTTAAAGTTCAGATGTGAGTAATACAAGTAGAGCACAGACAGCTTCCTGGTGTCTGACTTATGCATTGGTACATGAAGGGCCATTTATTGAGATTGAGAAGGCTGTGAAGGAGGCTGGGGTTTGGGGAGGGAGTCAGAGGTTTTTGTTCTGGAATTAGTAAATCTGAGATGCTCATTATTCCTGGTAGGCAGTGTTGATTTTTGTTTGGCTAATTTAAAAGACTTCATTGAAATAGTTGAATGTACATTTCTAAGAAAGCATTCAACTCTTTGGATTGTGGTCAAAAACAGCATATATTAAAGTTACTGAATATCTAAGTATAATGCTGAAAGGTCACCCCTAAATTCTGTTTTAATTTGCTTATAGGCCAAAAGGATTCTTGAAGGAGATCATGGCTCACCTGCTGGAGAAATTGATGATGAAGACAAAGTAAGTGGCTAATTTGTGCCTAAAAGCAATGTTTTTGGACAAAAGATTAAATAACTTTAAGAGCTTTAACTTAATGTTTGAGAGAAAACTTTAATCATCAAATGGCCTTTCTTCCAACAAAACTTTATTTTCTCTTAAAAACAACTTCTTGTATTTTTTATTAGATCATGACTAATTTTTGTGATGGGCTTTAGTATATACCTTTTAAAATGCATTTTAAGGAATTCATTACATGTATTTGTGGCTAGGACAAGGATGAAACTGAAACAGTTAAGCAGACTCAGACATCTGAGATGTATGGTGGTGATGGTCCCAAAAATGTGAGATCGGATGTTTCTGATCAAGAGGAAGATGAAGAAAGTGAAGAATGTCCGGTGTCCATTAGTAAGTGTAAAGGCTCTGTACTGGGTTTATATGTTAGCTCTTTACAGGTCATTTATCCAAACAGTTGGGCAGAGTATAATGAATGTCGAATTAGGTGTCCAACAACTCTGAATGATCTGGTGTGGCCCTGACCAGATGCCCTGTCCTTTCTGCACCACAGTGTTCCACTGCTTACTGTTTGGAAGATTTCAAATATCCTATGTAAAGGACTTGGGCAATGCAGGAATGTAGTACATGGTAGCTACTCTTAAGATTTAGTGCTGGAAATTTCCTAAAAACTGTGTATTAATCAATTTAGACTTGTCCAAGGCTGAAACTCAGGCTTTGACTAATTATGGAAGTGGAGAAGATGAGAATGAGGATGAAGAAATAGAAGAATTTGAAGAGGGGCCTGTGGATGTCCAGACTTCACTTCAGGCTAACACCGAAGCTACAGAAGAAACGGAACATGATGATCAGGTATTCCAGTCCAGAGAAACACACCTTCCCCCACTCGTCTTCAACTACTGAAGGCAGATCCTTTTTAAGGATGTCAGAATTCACAGCTTCCCTATTCTCATTTTCATGAATAAACCAATCTTTTTAACATCCTTACTGAAATCTCAGTCAAATACTAGTTTATTTTTATATTTAGGAATGCTTATACTTAAAGCACTTTAATTTTGGGGGGTGGGGGTAATAAGTCCTAAAAACTGTGACATTACCTAGAAGATCTGGATTTTTCATGTATCTTTACTTCCTAGTTATACATGGAAACAGTATATAATAAAATCATTCCCTTTCCTACCTCCACCTCATCCTGTCCCATAGGCAGCATTTTGTATGATTTCTTTCGTTATTTAACTCTATTTCTGAATAGTATGTGTGTATATTTATTTAGTTATGTGTTAGACATTCTCCTTTAACTTCCTACTATAGTAGATGAAGACTTTTAGGTCACTTAAGACTCCTCATTTAATTATATTAATCCTGTCCTCCTCATTCAATTGTATCTTTTGCTTAAATCTACATTTAGCCAGAGATCTAACCAAACTACATAAATATTACCGACTTGCTGAATTAAGCAAATACTGTTTGTTGCTTATTCTTAAACTTTTTTTCACTTGAAATTAATAATTGTCTCCATTGTTTGTTTGCCTGATTCTCTTTGACTCCACACCCAAGTCTTTGTTCTGCCCAGCAACGGCTGTATGAACGTCTCAGTGGACTCTTCTGCATGTACCAGTTTGTCGTTTCATCCTTCCCGCTCCGTCCTGGCTTTGGCTCTTCATTAGACCTGCTCCCTAGCTAGCAGCCTGGGAGTTCCCTTTGTCATTCTTTATTCCATCTGTTTGTGGAATCCACTTTTGTCCTCTTTTGCCTCATTTTTGGAAGAGCACATTTCTAGTACCTCTCTGAGAAAGAGTGCATAAAAGAAACATTTGAGACATTATGGGTCTAAGAAAATCTTACATTCTTCCATGTTGAAACATCATTTCAGTGCCTCCTTTGTCTTCCAGTTTTCAGTGCCTCTGTTGAGAAGGCTGATGCCTTTTTCAGTTCTGATTCTTCGTATTCTTTTTCCTTTCCCACCCTAGAGCTCCCCGCCCCCACTCCCTGGAGTTCTGAAGTTTTACACTGATACACCTTATGTCTTTTTTCATTCCCTGTACTGCATAGTCAGTGGGTCTGTAAGCAATCAATAACCATGTCCTTTATTTTATTAAATTTTCTTTTTTTGCATTGCTTCCCCTCCATTTTTTCTTTTCATTCCTCTTGGAATTAATATTATCAGACATTATTAGCCCTCATGTGTTGATTTTCTAATTTTCTCCTCTCTCCCTTTTATCGTTCCCTTGCTCTTTTTGTTTTACTTCCTGGGAGATTTCTTTGACTTTAATACTTATATAAATGTCATATTTTTAATTTCTAAATACTTTTATTTTCTGATTACTTTTTTATAGCATGCTGTTCAAAGAAGTGCTATCCTCTCTTACCCATCTGGAGGTTTCTTCAAATGTCTGTGGTACCTTCGGTGTTTATACTAAAAAATGATACACCAGGAAGCTGGTTGGGGTTATTCTGGGCTTCACTGTAGGGCATTTGGGTTGACAGCTTTTTGACAGAAAATCCCAAATGTTAATACCCATTGGTCTTTTCTCTGAGGTGGTGTTTCTCCAAAGAAGGGTCTTCCTTTCCTCTCTGCCTGGGAGGATGTAGTCATACCTTTTTGGCTGCCTGTGTTCAGGAGCTAGATGTGGGAATGCTGCTGGGGGTCCCATCACTCTACAGATTGGTGCTTAATCCTATTTTCAGCATGAGGTTTTATCCTGTCCTCATTTGTGCTTTCTGTACCCCACCCTTACCCTAGGCAGCCCCCGGGTCTGAGGCTTACTAGTTCAATTTATCCAACATATAATCTCCCATTTTCTGTTAAAGTTGGGGGAAAGAACCTCGATGTTTGAATTTTCTTTTAACAGCTTCAGAGAACCACCACCACTGCCCTCTTTTCACCCACCACTGTATTCCTTTCTCCAAGCATGAGATGAATCTGATTTTGTCCTTTCCTCCTGCTGAAGGCACTTGGCTTTATCTTTCTCCCCTCCTGGTCAGTTCTTCCATTCACTTAACACCTACATATAAATGGGTATCTTTTAGTTTCATTCAAGATTGAGTCTGATTTGGGAAAAAAAAAATTAAAATAGTGGAGTCCATAATACTCTAGTTCTCTATTATTTTGAGGTTAAGAAGAAAATGAAACATTTTACTTAACCCTCTTAAAGTTTCAACTATAGCATCCTTCCTGAAACATTTTCAGAAGACATTTTTAAATTCACTTGTATGAAGCTCTCAGGTTGGACGAACACCATAAACTCCTAACCATCTCCTATATATAATGGCCATATATTTTAGGCCCTGCTATTAAGACGTCACTTTTTCCTTCTAGGTACTACAACATGACTTTGAAAAATCAGGAGAAAGCAAAAATGTCCCATCAGAACAAGATCCCACTACTAGTAAAGGCAAGAAATCTAAAGTGTTCAATTTTAAGATTATTTAAAGTGCCCTTAATGTACTTTTAAAAGCTAAGAAAAAAAAATTAAATTCTTAGCTAATGTAAGTTTGAAGGTATTTTGGACCTGAGGTATGTCTTTTTTATTTCCCTCAGTTCTTTGTAGAAAACACGAGGGCTTGCTTTCTGCAAACAGGTGCTCAAGAAAAGTTGACAAACACACAGAAAAAACCTTCAAAGAAAACATCTTTAGATACAAACATGAGGGATTTAATACCCATTCCTGGGTATTACTCATGAATATCGTTAGAAATTGGGTGATTTCAGGAATCTAATTTTTAAAACATCTCCAGAATCTGATCAACTAATTTTAGGAATCATTGATAAGGAAAACTTGTAGTTGTCTCTTCTTTTGAGTCTTAAATGTCTTGATTACTCCTTCATACATACTGTCTTTTTGGTATAATACTGAAATTTAATAACTGTTGCATTACACTAATATTAAGATTTTCTTCTGATGACAGATGACCACGATAGCACTCCTGTGAAACCCTGTTACCTCAATATCTTGGAAAACGAGCAACCTTTAAATAGCGCTGTCCAACAGGACACTCTCACTACCATTGATTCATCTAAGCAGCCTAACCCTTTGCCTTTACCTTTAACTGAAATCGAAACCTTGGTGCCTACAGTCAAAGAAGTTAAATCTGCTCAGGAAACTCCTGAGAGCTCTCTGGCTGGAAGTCCTGATACTGAATCTCCGGTGTTAGTGAATGACTATGTATGTATCATCTACGTTTCATTTCTATGCATATTTCTTCCTTTTAGGTTAACATTTTCAGTCTATAAACAGACTGTGTTGAGGTTTATTTGTGTTTGTGTTTAGGTTTAGAAACTGCCAAAAGGTATTTCTTACTCATACTTAGTTTAAACTTGAATAGAAGGGTGATAGTGAATTAAGATGATCAGATATCAAAATCTAAAAGCTGTTCTACTTTTTTATAAGTTTATGACCCATATTTTGAGTTTTAGGTAGCAACATTGAGAGAGTTCAGGTTCAGATCTGAACACGATACGTGAATCATCATTAATCTCTTACAGTACCCAGGCCTGACATCTCAACAATTTTAAAACATTTCATAAATGTTTTAAAAACATTTGATAAACCTGAAAGTTTACAGTTTGATAAAACTGTATCAGGTTTGGTAAACCTGAAAGTTTACAGTTTGACAGCAGTAGCTTCCTTATGGTAACTGACAGAAATATATGGTAGTAAATCTATACTTAAGATGTAGGTAGGTAAGTTGTTTTACTCTGGACATTTTTGTTTCATGCTATAACTTTATAGCATGTGGGTTAATTTTTGGACCTTGGATTGTGTTTTATATCCTTTCTCTTGTTCAAAAAAATTGAGGAATTTATAATAATAAAGTTTGAGGTCTAAGGAATGTGTTTCATATATTTTTTTTAATATCAGTTTTCTTACTAAAGATATAGTTAAAATTATGATTTCCTAATTTCTCAGGAAGCCTATAATTATTTCAAAAACCTGTTTTGATGGCTTCGACAACAGTGAAATTAACATTTACAACTCTGAAAGTTACCTGTTAGACTTATTTTGACTGTAATTTAATGAGTGCGTAGAGTTGTTCTAGGAGGCAGTTGAAATTAAAGTTTGATTATAGAAGGACTTAAATTTGAAATTTAGGCAGGGGACAGGTCTTTGCGCAAGAAAGTCAAATGGCCAACATCATGGTTTTTGAAGATGAATCTGATGACTGATGAGTGTTGTCAAGGATGCTACTTTAGGAGGCTCCCTTACAATAGGAACCAAGTACTAACTTAGAGCTGGATGAGAAATGTTGAAAGAAGAGGAAAAATCTAAGGTTTCCACTTGGGTAATTAGTAAAATGATACTATTAAAAATCAGAAAGGAGAAATAGGAGAATAAAAGAACTCAGGTTTCAGAGAGACACTGAAGTGATAACAAAAGTAAGTCACTAGATTCATGCCTTATCTTTCTCAGCTTCCACAGAGTTGATACTGAAAGCCTGTATGTAAATGTTTACTTTATTCTGCTGGATACATTCTGATGCGTTCTGTAAACATTATCAAGAAACCAGAGTTGTTCTTTTAATTGTTTTAGGCCTCAGTGTAACTACTGTTTCTTCCTTTAACCTGTATAAGCTGGCTCTTTGTTTTTGCAAATGGGGATGGAACGTTCGACAGTATGGCCCACAGCTTCAAGTGCATGGCCCTTCCCATGCACTCCAGCTTTGCTTTATTCATAGAGCTGAACACAGAAGAAAACCCAAATAGGATAGAATTACTGATGTATATAAGAATCCATTTTATCCTTGGCATGGATTACTTTAAAGGTTTAGATCCAGAGATGGAGTGCTTTGCCTTCATTAAATACAATTTATCTCACAGGAAGCAGAATCTGGTAACATAAGTCAAAAATCTGATGAAGAAGACTTTGTGAAAGTTGAAGATTTACCACTTAAACTGACAATATATTCAGAGGTATTCTGCTCTCTTTAATTAAACTTGTCTTTATATGACAAGTACTGCTGGGATGGAAACTGATTTTCTTTTTTTTCTTTTCATTCCAAAGGCAGATCTAAGGAAGAAAATGCTAGAAGAAGAACAGAAAAACCATTTATCTGGTGAAATACTTTGTGAAATGCAGACTGAAGAATTAGCTGGGAATTCTCAGACACTAAAGGAACCTGGTAAGTTAACCACTTTGAACCATATCATATTGAAAAATTAATGAACCTTGATACCATCAGTTTGTTTTTTAAATCGACTATTAGTACTTGGAAGATTTAAGACAACTATTGGAAGGGAAGCATAATTCTGTAAAAAGTCTTGATCTGTTGCCTGATTTATAAAGTGATATTAACAGATAATTTTTTCCATTTTTAAAATCCTGAGTTTTAGCAAGGTAAATTTTTTTTTTTTTTAATTTTATTTTTTATAAGCATATATTTTTTTTCCCCAGGGGTACAGGTCTGTGAATCGCCAGGTTTACACACTTCACAGCACTCACCATAGCACATACCTTCCCCAGTGTCCATAACCCATCTAAATAATATTCTTGTAACTTTTCTTAATTTAAAATTCAGACATCTCTTATCTTCCCTATGAAAAGTGAGCATTTGGACTTATCTCTCCTTCTTTCACTATTTGGTTTTTCTGTTTGTTACCTTGTGTTTTCTAGTCCCATCAACTTTGGTCATTACTCAGCTGCTACTCCCTTTTCCTTCCGCTTTCTCTATTCAGTTTTACTCCTCTTCTTACATTAAGGTTATAAAAGCAAACACACATTTTTGTAACTATAATAGTTAAAACTTCTTTACTTTGGGGTGCTTGGGTGGCTCAGTGGGTTAGGCCTCTGCCTTCGGCTCAGGTCATGATCTCAGGGTCCTGGGGTCGAGCCCCTCATCGGGTTCTCTGCTCAGCAGGGAGCCTGCTTCCCTGTCTCTCTCTCTGTCTGCCTACTTGTGATCTCTGTCTCTGTCTAAATAAATAAAATCTTTAAAAAAACAAAACAAACAAAAAAAACTTCTTTACTTTTTCTGAAGACCATTCTGTGTAAATATGACTGATTGCAGAGCCAAGTGATAATCCCATATTTCCTTCTTCATGGATCTAATAGCACAACCCCTGGGCCACTCAGAGGAGACTGTCTTGCATCAAAAATCAAAGGATTTTCTTTTTGTTACTCTGTCAGTTCATCAATTTTTGCTTTTCCTAGAAATTGGGTTAAGAGAAGGACAGACTAACTATCAAACTTTCAGCGAATTTCCCAGTATTGAGCCCAGTTTTACTTGTGAGAATCTTATCTGTGCTCCGCCCCACCTCCTTGCTCCTCCTTCTGCTTCCAGCATTCCAGGGATTTGTTGTTGTCCCAGGTCCTGCTCTCCCTCCTAGCCACTCTTACTGGTCCGGATTTAGTCAGTTTTATAGGTTTTGTTGGTTTTTTTTTCCTGATGGGAGCTTTAAGAGACAGGAAGTATCGACTCGTCTACCATTTTCAAACAGAAATCATCTATTTTTATAAACTAAATTAGTATTTCCTTTATAATAACTTCATGCTGAAAGTTTTAATGTAAGAGAACAATAATAAATTCTAGTAATGTCTTAATTCAGTAATTTATAGCACATTATTCTGTTTTTCAGAAACAGTGGGAGCCCAAAGCGTATGAGATGTCTTCTGAGACTCATCTAACTCGCTTTACGTAGTCAATGCATATATGAACGTGGCACTAAATAAACATCTGTTTTGATCTGTATAAAAATGTAAATTAGTTTGACACTGCATTCTTGATAGGTGTGCTCATTTCTGCCCGTGGCAGTTTAAAACATCAGAAACTGAATTCTGGACAGATTGAAGCCTTGATACGCTGTGGGGTTGTTTGTTTTTCTTCTTTCTTTCCTCTTTTTGGTCTTCATTTTGGTTTTTTTTTTTCCTTCCTTGTGATGTTTGGCATCGTTAAATTTAAGATGTAGTTTTAAATAAAGTTTGGACTTATCTGTAAAGTACCTTTTTTGAAATTATGTTGAATTCTATACAGTAAGTCACTCTTCTGTATGACTGGGATATTTAGAGGAGACCAAGAATTTGAGAAACACAGAATTTAAGCCAGCTGCTAGGTCAGGCTTCTAAGTAATGTCAGTGTTACTGCTTTTCGGTCTAGATGCCTGCATACTTTATTCCTGTGCAGGATTAGGGAAGGTTATAAAGGTATTCAGGTTATTGGTGAAGTTATTATAAAATATAAGTATTAATTATCAGATAAATATTTTCCAGAATTCAATTCCTATCTGTGTTGCCACGGTCTTTAAAAAAAAAAAAAAGTGTTACATAAATAGGGAGTTTTTCTTCACAAACAAGTAACACTGTGATTAATTTTACATGAAAAACCACACCCTTTCAAGTAGGGATGGTAGAACTGAATTTTATGTACCAGAATATTAAGGCTCTGTATGCCTTCAGACAAACTTGCGTTTTGAGATAGCAGTTGATTCTGTGTGTGGTGAGAGAAGCAGATTCATAGATGAAGTATTAAGTAGGGAACATCCATGGGATGTCTTCACTACCAAGCTGATCAGTTTTTCAAAGGTGAATTACCTTTAGATCGCAAACTTGCCATATACCCAAGGAAGGCTTCACAGAGCCACTTAATGGTGAAGTCAGTCTGTTAGTCTTAGAGGTTGTTTTTTTTTTTTTTTTTGAATAACATATGTATAATTAGTTTCAGTTAGTGGTATATGGAACTTATTAACAATTTACTGAAATACCCCATTAGAAAAGAAGTTGGTTGGTATTCCTTTAAAAGTCTTAGTTGCATTATACTTCAGTGTAAAATTATAATGCCTCTTCAGGGAGTGTTAAGTGAAGATTTCCCTATGAGGACATTCACTGTATTACTAATTAAATTACGTGAGGTATAGATCTCCAGCATTAATTAAAAAAAAAACCTATTCAGAGAACTGTCATTCAGAATCAGGAATTCTTACCCAGTTGGCCTGACTCCCAGGAAACTAAAACAATAAATTAGATTATATGTATATTTAAGTTCTATACCTGTATATTTTCTAGAAAGAGGAGAATTTAATGTGTTGGCACTCAAGCCGAGCCTTACATATATTACGGCCGTGTGTCTCTACATGCAGATTAAAGTTCAGTCCAGTGAAGACCTGTACTTCTGAGTTCTTTTCCCAGCACCTATGAACCTTATTTCACTAACTTGTGTTAGAGCTGCTGTCATCTACTATTGTTTTCTGTTTTAGAAGATAATTCCACTTGAAAATACCTGGGGCTGAAGATCAGATAATTTGCTTTATTCTTTCCTTAATAAATACTGCTCAAAGGTTAAGCATTAAATGTTCATGTTCATTAATTTTTAAGGTGAAATTCAGGTTATAGATAAAAGAGGGAGAAAAGGTGAAAGTGAGTGAGAGAGAACCTGTGCAGGTTGAGAGAATGCTTACAATAGTGAGCTTACCAGACTGGGCAGGTGATCTTTGTATTTTGTGACATTAAATCTGGGTACATGCGTTTTCACTGTGAATAAATATCTATCCTCCATCCAAACATGAGCTGCATTTTCATTTAAACTGACATCATTATTTATGATTTAGAAGTTATTCCAGAATTATGGCTTGACAATTTTAAATGTAAAACAAAACAAAACAAAAAAATAGAACCAAACAAAAAAAATCAAAGACATAAAAAATAGTGGCATAACAACTAGCCAGGGAGGAGACTTCTCAAATTCAAGACCACTTTTCTTCCACTGTAGGTAGGTGTATTCTATTATTTCTTAATTGTATCTATTTCATATACTATGTAGAGAACATTCTCATACATACTCAAAGTTAGCCTGGCATGTTTCTTGTTTATTGTCCAATTTTACTTAATATAAACAGTTTATTCTTTACCTGTAAAAAATAATTGGCTCTGGATGTCACATATTTCACTGTGCAAACACGGCTGCCCAGTCGCCTTGCCTGGAGAAGCCATCATTTCTTATTCTCGCCACATAACTCTAATTGCTGCTTTAATATTGGCCACCTTCATACATCTGGTTGCTCCCTCAGAGTCACTGGTGTCTTTGCTTGGCTCATTTTCCACTAAGGAATAGAATGCCTTTAAGTAACTCTCATAATATAGTTTTAATTATTAGTTCATCTGCCCAGACTTAGAATAACCCTGGGCCGCAATTTACAGAAAGTTATTGATTTGGATATTTTGAAAACAAATCGCATTATAAAGCTTGAGTTTGAGTGCTCTACTACATACCTAATTAATGTACTGACAGGTTGGAATTACGATTTTCCAACTGATGATGGTGTGAAAGTAGTACAGGCATTCATTGGAGATATTATAAGTTCAGTTCCAGACCACTGAAATAAAGTGTCAAGTAAATTTTTTTGGTTTCCCAGGGCATATAAAAGTTTATGTTTACCCTGTAGTTTACAGTTTATAGTATATAGTTTATAGTATGTTTACCCTGTAGTCTATTGACTACAGGGTCCTGGGATTGAGCCCCGCCATTGGGCTCCCTGTTCAGCGGGGAGCCTGCTTCTCCCTCTCCCTCTCCCACTCCCTCTCCCACTCCCCCTGCTGTGCTCTCTCTGTCAAATAAATAACATCTTCAAAAAACGAAAAAAATGCCAACCATCATCTGAGCTTTCAGCAAGTTATAATCATTTTGCTGGTAGAGGGTCTTGCCTGGATGCTGATGGCTGCCGACTGATCAAGGGTGGTGGCTGCTGAAGGGTGGTTTGGCCATGGCAGTTTCTTAAAATAAAACAACAATGAAGTTTGCCCACATCATTGGACTTCCTTGCTCTCCTGTATACTATGCTGTTTGACAGCATTTTACCCACAGAACTTATTCCAAAATAGGAGTCCGTCCTCTCATACCCTGATGCCTTTTTATCAATTAAGTTGATGTAATTTTCTCAGTCTTTTCTTGTCATTTCAACAGTCTTCACAGCATCTTCCCCAGGAGTAGACTCCATCTAAAGAAACCACTTTCTCTGCTCATCCATAAGAATCGACTCCTCGTCCAGATCCAGGACCGCATGCTCTACTCATTGAGCTTCAGGCACCCCTTCAGGCTTCCCTTCTAGTTCTCTAATTACGTCCACCGCATCTGTAGTTACCTCCTCCACTGAAGTCTTGAACGCCTTAAAGGCATCCTTGAAGGTTGCAATCACCAGCTTTCAAACTCGTGTCAACACTGATATTTTGACCTCTTCCCATGAATCACAGATGTTGTTCATGGAATCTAGAATGGTGAATCTTTTTCAGGTTTAATTTACATTGCACAGATCATCTCAGGAATCACTGTCTAGGACAGCTACAGCCTTACAAATATATAGAGTAAGACTTGAAAGTAAAAATCCCTCCTTGATTCATGTGGTGCTGCAGTGTGGATGTTGTGTTCACAGCATGAAAACAGCAGGAGTCCTGTTACGTCGTCCATGAACATCAGAGCTCTTCAGTAATCAGGCACATTGTTAATGAGTAGTGGTCTTGTGAAAGACGTCAATTTTCTGAGCTGTAGGTCTCAGCCACGGGCTTAAAATATTCAGTACATCAGGTTGTAAACCAGTGTGCTTTGTGTACAGAATGGTCATGGAGCACTGGCTTCAACTTAAAGTCACCAACTGCATTAGCTCCTAACATAGAGACAGCCTGCCCTTTGAAGCTATGAAGCCAGGCATCGACTTCTCTCTAGCTATGAAATTCCTAAATGGCATCTTCCAAAAGCAAGCTGCTTCGTCTGCACTGAAAATCTGTTTAGTGTAGCTGCCTGCATTGATGCCCTGAGCTACATCTGGGTAACCTGCTGCAGCCTCTCCATCCCCTCTCGCTGCTGCACCCTGCACTTCAGTGTTACAGAGATGGCTTCTCTCCTCAAACCTCATGACCCCACCTCTGCTAACTTCCACCTTTTTCTTCTGCAGCTTCCCCACCTCTCTTAGCCTTCACAAGATGAAAGCTCTGGATTAGGCTTTTAAGGAAATGTGGCTTGCTTGATCTTCTATCCAGACCACTAAAATTCTCTCCGTATCAGCAATAAGGCTGTTTTGCTCTCTTACTATTCATATGTTCACTAGAATAGCACTTTTAATGTCCTTCAAGAACTTTTCTTTGCATTCACAACTTGGCCCGTTTGGCACAAGAGCCCTAGTTGTCAGCCTTTCTTGGCTTTCTCTCTGCTCTCCTCACTGAGCTTAGTCATTTTTAGCTTTTGATTTAAAATGAGACATGGCAACCTACTGAATGGGAGAAGATATTTGCAAGTGACACAGCCATTAAGGAGTTAATATCCAAACTATATAAAGAACTCCTAAAACGCAATAGCAACAAAAAACAAACAATCCCATTAAAAATGGGTGGAAGATCCAAATAGACATTTTCCAACAAAGACATACAGGTGGCCAACAGACACAGGAAAAGATGCTCAGCATCACTCCTCAGGGAAACGCAAATCAACACCACAATGAGCTACCACCTCATACCTGTCAGAAGGGCTAGTTATCAGAGATAACACACACGGGTAGGTGAGGACATGGAAAAAAGGGAGCCCTCATGCACTGCTGGGAATGCAAACTGGTACAGCCACAGTATGGAGGCTCCTTAAAATATTAAAAACAAATACACACACAGTCCAGTAATGCCACTACTGGCTATTTACCCAAAGAAAATGAAAACATGAATTCAAAAAGATACATGTACCCCTATGTTTATATCAGCATTATTTACAATAGCCAACACATGGAAAACAAGTGTTCATCAATAGATAAATGGACATTTAAACACTTAGAAGCCACTGTATGGTTATTAATTGACCTGATTTCAATACCACTGTGTCTCAAGGAATAGGGAGGTGCAAGGAGAGGGAAAGAGATGGGGAAATGGGTGGTGGGTAGATCACTCTATCTAATACAGTAACAATGAAAAAGTCTTAAATTTTGTGGGAATTACTAAAATGTGACATAGGCACAAAGTGAGCAAATGC